TCAGCCTCACGTATCCCACCTCCCCCTTCCCCCCCTCCCCCTTCCAACCGCACCTGGTTCATCTTGGTGACTTGCCCGTACGCCCACACGCCCAGCAGCGCGAGCAGCCCCGCGGCGAGCAGCAACAGGAACACCGACTCGCCGCTCACGTAGCCCACCGGCTCCAGCACCTCGACTGTGCGGTTGATGAGCAGCGACGCGTGCAGGGAGTCGCCCACAATGTAGAACGCTGCGAGGGCCAGCCCAAAGTCGCGCGGCTGGTGGTGGGGAGTAGTGGTGGGAGGGGGGAAAGGGGGGAGGGGGGGGGAAAGGGGACGGGGAGTGGGGGGGGAAGCGGGGGGGAGTGGGAAAAGGGAGAGAAGAGGGGGAGAGATGGTGGTGGTGAGGGTTGGAGGAACACCGACTCGCCACTGACGTACCCCACGGGCTCCAGCACCTCGACTGTGCGGTTGATGACGAGCGACGCGTGGAGAGAATCGCCGACAATGTAGAACGCCGCTAAGGCCAGACCAAAGTCGCGCGGCTGGGGGTGGTGAGGGTGTGGTGGTGGTGTGGTGGTGGGGGGGAGGGTGCGGGGACGGGGCGCATGGGGGAGAAGGGGGGGAAGGAGAGGAGAAGTGGTGGTGGTGAGGGCCGCTCATGTACCCCACGGGCTCCAGCACCTCGACTGTGCGGTTGATGAGGAGCGACGCGTGCAGGGAGTCGCCCATTATGTAGAACGCCGTGAGGCGTTTTTTAGATTCGTTTTCTAAAAACCACGGTACATTTGAGAATTCACATAAACACACGTGAAGTGAGTAGGACGATTCGTTTAATAAGAGGCGGGGCAGTGAGGGGGATGACTGGGAGTGAGGGGGAGTGAGAGGGGGTGAGGGGGAGTGAGGGGGAGTGAGGGTGAGGTGAGAGTGAGGGGGCGTGGATAAAGACGAGGAAGGAGAAGGGTGACGGGAAGTTTCGAAGCCGGCAAGGCGAGAGAGGCGGCCCAACGGAGACAAAACAATGAGAGGATGTGAGAAAGTTGATTTTGAGTTGACTCAAAGGCCATTTGAATAAGATTCTAAGACGAGTGCAAAGTAACGAGAAGCGACAAAACGGAAGGGTGGGACGAGCCAAATAAGATGGGGAGGGGGCGGGAGGGGACAGGTAGGACGGAGTAAGGAGCGGTGTAGGGGGAGAGGATTGGAGTGGATTGGACGGAGATCAAGGTTCACGTTAGCGCACCTGAAGGTATCTCTCTGGCGTGAAGTGGAAGGAGAAGGAGGTCTGTTCACCCGGAGAGATGGTGACGTTGTATGACTGCTCGCACGCAGGGAGGAGAGCATACAGTCAAGCACACAGAGAGGAGAGCGCACAGTGTCAAGCACACAGGGAGGAGAGCGCACACAGGGAGGAGGAAGAACAGGGACGGGAATCACAGCAGGAGCACACAGGGGCGAGAACGCACAGCAGGAGCACACAGGGGCGAGAACGCACAGCAGGAGCACACAGGGACGGGAAAACACATCACGGAATTTAGGAAGATGAAGTTTATAACATACAAGCATTCTTCATCAATTTCGCCCTTCAGACTACACTACATCCAATCCGTTCCCACCCAACAACCAGTACATGCGCCCTCTCCATCCATTTTCATCAATCTCTGCAGTGCCTAGAACCGTATTGCAGTAAAAACGACAAGAGGAAGCTGCAGGACACTTCCCTTCACGTTTTCTTCCCATTGCTAACCCTTTCACCCCACCTCCCATCCCTTTCCCCTCCTCCTTCCCATTCCCCTTCTCATTTTCCCTCCTCATTCCCCAGTCCCCTTCTCGTTCCCCCTCCTCAAACCCATTCCCCTTCCCCGTTCCCCAGTCCCTTCCTCCCCCAAACCCCCCTAGCTTTCCTTGCACCCCATCTCACGGCAGGCAAACTCACGTCAGACGAGAAGTTTTGCACCACGTATCGGTAGTCAAACGGCACGTAGATGTTACCCGTGACGTTGCCCATGAATACGGGGATCGGACCTGACAGCATGAACACGCAGCGTCGAAACCCGCGTGGAGAAAAAGGGTCCACATACAGGCAGCAAAACGAGGAAAATGCGGAAAAAAGGGGATGAGATAAAATAACAAGCTTGGACTTACTTCTTCAAAGTCTGAGTAAAGCATACTCAGCGTCTTTGACGCAGTCTCTCACGCAACGCTCGAATTTCGGACGTGAATTTCGCATGATCACGTGCTTTTGTTTTCAAACCTTGCGAATGATCAAGTGACCGAATTCAACAGAATTTTCAACACACGGATTCCGCATTAAGTCTGCCCTCGAAATTCGACGAATCAGGTTAAACTGCAGTTAAATATCTCATCCAAATGCACGATTCAGTTCAGATCGACAATGGGGATCGAGCGAGGGATAAAAATGGACGGAGGACAGTGGTCTACGGTTGTAACTTATGAGTAAACTAAAGACCCACTTAGTTAAAAGTGTCACAAAGCATGACAGAGAACGCGGGCGTACCGTTGTTGCTGATTGAAAAGAGCAGCTCGGCTTCCTGACCAGCGTGGATAATCGGCTCTGAAAAGGAGAAACACACAAAATACGATCTTTGCATATTTGTTAGATTCATGATATCAATGACGTTCGATGAAAAAGAACGTGACAGAGTAGTTAAAATCCAGGTCTTGCGATCCCGGAAATGGAAAAGACAGGGTGATGATCGCACGTGGCGCTTACCCTTGCCGAAGAATTTTGGAAGAATGGATTTGACTTCGACTCCATCGGCCGGCATGAGACGAGGTAGCTCCTCCTCCGCCTCCTCTTCCTCCGTCGCCACGACCTCCGATGCAGCCGCGTCAGCCGCTACTGAGTCAGCAGCGGCGTTCGCATCCTCGTCGTCGTCGTCCTCAGCACGGACGGTGACTGGCGACAGAGATTGAAAAAGGTCAGAGATTTAGACAGTCAGGAATTGAGTCAGAAAGAAAGCGCGGAAACACGGACGGTGACTGGCGACAGAGATTTAAACGGTCGGAAAACGAATCGGGAAGAAAAGGAGCAAGCAGGACGGGCGTGATGACAATGGCATTGGACCACGATGCGATATGGATTGCAAAAGATCAGATCCAATGTCCATGCCATCTCTTCATCACGGCGGGACGGACATAGAAAAGAAAAGGACCGTCATTGACGAGTCTTGCAAAGGAAGGAGCGAATTACCTGCTGGCGAGATGATCAAGAAGATCGCAAATAGAACAAAAGAGAGCCGCCATATAGATCGACGAGCCATGGCGAATCGGTACAAAGCGGGAAGACGAGAGAAATAGGTCAAATCCTAAACAGATCCACAAATAAACTAGCAGTGACTGGACAAGATGCTATGACCACGGAACCAGATCCGGAAAAATGGTGGTCTCTAGGCTGAATTGGTTTGCGAGGCTGGTAGCGATGGAGGAAGGGAAGATTTTGGTTTGGTTGTGATCGAGATTAGGTCGATTGGCATAAACAACGGTGAACACTCGAGTGTGCAAGACCACGAGGTACCGCATCCTGCCACTCTTACAGCATTGGCACAATCTTCAACCCAGTTATGTTGTCAACCATGAATGTCTAAGATCACGTTTGGGATGGAATCCAAAGTGAGTGCGCGATCCCTCCTGATAATGTGTCAAAAACGAGTGTTCTTGAATTGGATGAGCTACCTTGTGTGCAAAAGTACGAAAAGTATGAAATGTTTGAATACTCGAAAGCTGTCTGAATTATACTTGTATCTCTTTACGGAATTTCACGGATTGTATAATAACATTCCCGATGCTGCTCATAACGCCCGGGTAACGATCAACAACCTGCACCCAACACACGAGGCACCACGGAGGATGTACAGTGCCGCACTTCGTTGCTATTTCCAGCAAGCTACAGTACTCGTCGCAGCCAATCAACTGCTTTCGTAAAAAAACCTCCAGGTTGCCTGCACTGAGTTCGTTTCGTCGTTTCTGCGCCGAGTTCAACAACCCCACCCGTACAGTGACCCACATTCACAACCCGCCCCTTCTCCTGGCGTCAATACTGTAGCGCCAACCTTTTTTCACTCCCGCTGACCGCACCAGTGTACAGGACATAACCACCTCCACCCCAGTCCACCCTCCATCCATGCCATCAGACGAGGCGCGATGTGATGCGCCCTTCCCCAATTCCGCAGGCCACATTTCTCCCTGGCCTCGATGTTGGGCTGGGCAATGGGCATCCAGCAATCACTGCCGAAACGCTCCGTACACAAACGAATCGTACGAATGTGATGTGAGGCGAACACAAACATTTCAGCAATGTCTGCTGCCACCAAAAGTATGTACATAACCTTGAACTCAGTCGATCACCAGTCTACGCACGCTCGCACCAGCGAAGAGGAAAATCAGTTTCTTCGCACTTGCTTGTGAATCACCATCGTTTACACTCTAATCGCGACGCGTATTGGTTCCTATATTTCTCATCCACCACGTTTTTTTCCCCCTTCGAAGCCATAATAGTCCTCTCTTGCACTCCTTAGGCTATTTAACGCAGTCTTGGAACTGTCGTCAACCTTCTCCTGGATTTTTATCGCGGCTCTCTCGAAATGGCTGCGAACCACCAGATGACGCAAAATCAACGAGACCCACTCTCATTGTTGAGTCGCCGACGCTCGCGTACGCTCTCAGCCACACAGAGATCCGCTTCCACTCGCCTCCAACTACACCTGCTCGTCGCTGCCCTTTTCTTACCCGCCGTGGCGCTTGCGGTGCGCCCCCAATTCCCGACAGAAGGAACGCGCGACGCGCAGGACAGCGTCGTCATCGCGGTAAGCTCCAAGTCTCCGAAGCTTCGTGGTCAAAAGAGCCATTTGTGCGTGGTCTTGTTGGATACACGTCCCAGAAGCAAACTCATACCGTTTGATAAGCATCTTTATGTCTTTCCCGCCTCAAAATATTGTCCTTTCCTTCTCGTTGTTCTTCGTTTACTTCCACACGCAGAGATATCAAGCGGGGTTATCGAAGATGTGTCTCGGAGCCAGTCGCGACAAGGCGCGGGCGGTCATCGGCAACGCCGACTACGCCGGTAGCGACGCCAACGTGGCGATGGGCTATTCGCAGGCGACGAACGCCACGTTCATGTACATCGGCGGCGCCAGAATCAAAGGTAAATTACTCCCTTGAATGTTTGCCGCACCATTCTCCGTGTCGCTCCACTCTTCCAGAATCGACCAACGGAGCTTCTCCTTCCTCCATCTGCCTTCCCCTCCGCAACCCAGCATTCCGTGTCGCTTTTCCCCTTCCTCTCGCCTCTCCCCTGTATCCTCGTCGGGCTTGCCCCCATTCTTCACTTGCAGAATAACCTCCCTTGCACGGTTTCTTTATCTTCCTGTTTTACGAGTAAGGACTAAGTCCCCTCACTACGGACACTTCAATGTCCCTTCCCTCGTATCTTCGCTCCTTCTATTCCTCCTGCCTCAGGCCCTCGTCGCTGCGTTCCGCCGGGTCAATTGGGTGTGTACACCTACTACCCCTCAACGAACAAATTCGTTAAGGGCGATTTGCGCAGCCTACCTGAGCGTGTAGTGGACTCGTCATACGTTGTCTCCCTGACAGTGCCATCCGCGTTACAAGTCGCCCCGCAAGTGACTTTGGACGTGTCGAACATGTATCCCACGGCACTCGAGTTTGACGCTGCAGGAACAGTATCAGCCCCTCCCATGACGCAGGCCAATTTCACCGTAAGCGAGTCTTTGCCTGGGTTTATATTCCTTTCTTGTTCTGTAATGTAAAACTGCTAATCATCACATGATCTTGTCTTCCGTTTTTATTAGCTAGGAACTCGTGCGTATCTCCCCTCCTCATTCCATAATCACCACATTCCTCTTCCCATTTTCAGGTCTCTGGAGCAGATCTCTCCCCTCCGGCCGACCCATATGGAATGGTCTCTTCCTACCTTGAGAAATACGGGGCAAAAGCTGATGCTAACGACCTCTCGGGCGCGATTCTCGTAACTTACGACCCTTATATCGAGGCCCACGTTACAGTGTACATGATTTACCGCCCCGTCTACAGTCCCGCAGCAGTGGTGCAGCAATATTGCAATGCGAACGCGCCGTGTTACTTCGCATATGAAATGATTGGGAAGTATGCAGCTCCGCAGGATGTATCTGCGAGGCGTCGTCGAAGGCTTCTCGCATCCAGTTCGCGAGCGGATACACTGTCATCGACGGGGACTTGTGTGCGGTACGTGTACAACCCCTCGTGCAAGTGCTACAAAACCACGCCGTGTTGAGTTGCACAAGGTGTAGGCATGAATTGGAGCACCTGTACATTATAAGTCCCTCGGACAAGGCACCTTGTACACAAGGCCGCTCTGTATAATTGGCTAGGAATCAGGGTAGAACCTGTGTATGAGGACTGTAGTAGGAGGATCACCAGATCAGAGGTCCTTTACCTGTCTCCCACATCTATGGGTTACATCTACTTGGTTTGAAAGTTTGAAGTTTCAGCTCTATGTTTCCATTCCAGGATTGCTTAATCACGAACCACTGTGGAACTTTGGCATCCTTAGTCACTGCTTGAGGAATTATGATATAATTGTGATGAACAGACCATAAATACTCCCCTATTCATTTTATTAAGCTCCTCCCAATCAATCGAATCATAAGTTGCTCGGGGGAATTGCAACCATCTGTCAACACCATTCAGCATCTGACACACAAGTGTATCGCGGATGAGCTTTACTTCGAAGTGCCGTTGGTTTTGAGCAAGCGCACTTGTCGCAACCAGTAGCATTGGTCGCAAGAAAACCTGCAGGTTTATCGCTTCACCACTATTTGTCGTTTCTACCTTGCTCTCAACAACCGCACCCGTACAGCGTCCCACCCACATTGACAACCTGGCCTTGCCCCTGGCGGAAATCGCCAATACTATTCCCCCAGCCCCAACCAGTCCGCCCTCCATCCAATCGCAAGCGGCGCGATGCGATGCCTCTCCGCATTTCGTGACAGGCTAGATTTGTCTGGCTGCATCTCGGCCATGCAATCAGGAGCATCATGGTTAGTTGGGACGGTTGGACATTGACGAACCAACAAACAGGACGATTCACGACGAAAGATGCGAAGACATTTCTGGGAGAGACAGTTCGATCGGGGGAAGAAATTGCAGGGGGGGAAGAGTTGGGGGGAGCAGGGGCGCAATGTGTGGTGGGCATGCGACACTGATTGAGATTGGGTGGTGGTGGTGGGGTAGACCTGTGTTATCCCAAGCAGCCAACAACTTATCGCCTCGTCACTTCTGACATCTTCAGCAGCATTGCCCAGAGCTGCCAGCAACATCAAATGCACTCCACATTCCATGCACATTACCTTGAAGTAGATCACAAGCCACCTCAGTCTACGCACTGGCATGCACAGAGACAATCGCAGTGCTCCAAGACTGAATGCCCCATCGAGGTTACCCGCCATTGGAAGCCATTGTCATCTAGGCCAGTTCCGCGCTTTACAACATCAAAATTCTCGATCAGCTTTCTTCGGCTGCCGCGTCATCCACCGTCGCGCTTGTTCCTGTGCTCATTCAGTTATCTCCGCCTCAACAACCTTACCAGTCGCGATTGCGGCACTCGTTCCACTCAACGATTCCATCGACTCCTCAAAGCTCGCCAACGCGCGTAGATCTACCTCGCAGCTCCGTCGAAATGGCCGCAATGCAGCAGACACAGCTGAATCGACGAGGCTCCTCATCCACCAGCCGCAGACGATCGATCACGCTTTCGGCCCTGCGGAGAAGCATATTCGATCAATTCCATCTTCAAGTGCTACACGTGCTAGTGGCTTCTCTTCTCGTACATTCCCTCAGTCTCACCGTGCGCGCCCAGTTTCTGGCAGAACGAACGCGCGCGCAGGACAGCGTTATGATTGCGGTAAGCTCGAACCCTCGGGAAACGCAACCTCTTTCCTTTTAATGCGTCCTAGTTTCCTGTCACAATTCTTCTTTTCCGGCCTTCGCATTTCACTAATTTCTCCCTTTGCTCTCGTCGTTTTCCTCCCCACCGCAGAGGTATCAAGCGGGGCTGTCGAAGATGTGTCTCGGAGCCAGTCGCGACAAAGCGCGGGCGGTTGTCGCCAACGCCGATTACGCCGTCAGCGACGCCAACGTGGCCCTCGGCTATTCGCAGGCGACCAACGCCACATTCATGTATATCGGCGGTGCCAGGATGAAAGGTAAATAACCCTCATTTTATTCTACCCTTCTCTGTCCCGTCTCTCCTGTTCCGTTGCCATCCCCGGCGTCTTCCAGTCTCGCTAAAAGAAACCACTCTCTCCTCCCCTACTCTCTCGATTTCTTCCCTTCCCCTCATCTCTCTCCAACCGCCCCCTCTCCTCCGCTTTCCCCTTCCCCGCCCCCCTCACTCGCATGTGCTTTCATTCCTCGCTTACGGGACCTCACCTCTCCCCTTCCCTTCTCCTCATATTTATTTATTTCGCATGTATTCTTCTACTCCTCCTTACTCAGGTCCTCGCCGCTGCGTTCCCCCGGGACTTTTGGACGTTTACACGTACTACCCTTCGACAAAACAATTCGTTAAGGGTAATCTGGGCAGCCTCCCCGAGCGCGTAGTGGACTCGTCGTACGTGGTTTCCCTGACAGTACCATCCTCGTTACAAGGCGCCCCGCAAGTGACGCTGGACGTGTCGAACATGTACCCCACAGTTCTAGAGGTTGAGGCAGCGTCATCGGTGTCAGCTCCTCCCATGACGCAGGCAAATTTCACGGTAAGCAAGTTCTTTTGTAGGGTAAATCTTCTAAATGCGTCACTCATGCCCCTGTATTTGATATCGCTACAAGTTTAGCAGTTCTGCTTCCCTGCGTTACTATCCATGGAGTATTCCAGATTTCAGTTAACCTTATTCCGCATTCCCCATATTTTTCCCTCTACTTTCAGGTCTCTGGAGCAGATCTTTCCCCTCCAGCCGACCCGTATGGAATGGTTTCTGCTTACCTTGAGCAATACGGTGCCAAAGCTGACGCTAACGACCTCTCGGGCGCTATACTGGTGACTTACGACCCTTATATCGAGTCGTACGTTACAGTGTACATGATTTACCGACCCGTCTACAGTCCGGCTGCTGTGGTGCAGCAGTATTGCAACGCGAACGCGCCGTGTTACTTTGCGTACGAAATGGTTGGCAAGTACGCAGCTCCCCAGGATGTGGTCGCCAGGCGTCGGCGAAGACTTCTCGCTACACGATCCGATTCGCTATCGACGATGGGGACGTGTGTGCGATACGTCTATAACCCTACGTGCAGATGTTATGTAACCCAGTCTTGTTGAGTTACAACATTACAAGCGAAGTAGTTTTCTGTACAATCCATGATGTGATTGTAATAGCCTGTATAATAGTGCTGCAATTTTGATAGGGATGCATGGTGTAATTGTTTGGCTACAATACATGAGCAACAGAACAAACCTTTCCTGCATGATTATTCCAAATGCTCAAAATGCAAATTCTTAAAAGTGTGTAAACACTTTTTAAAAATTGTGTATTGTGAGAGTGTAGCGATTGCCAACGCAGCAAAGGCAGCGTCGCATCGCTACTCGCCCTCTTTTGGCTACAAAAGGGGGGGTTGAGGCCATTTGGCCTCACCCACGTTCTTCTTTTCAATTTCAAAGTTTGAGTTACAGTACATTGCTGCTGTAAATAAATGATTCTCCCCATGGTGGGCAGTGTTACAGACTTTTCTTTGGAGCATACATGCTCAAAGCTCTTCCCAGTTCACTCGTCATTCTACCGGTACTTGGTTGTGAGGGGTTTTGCTAGGCACAATCATTAACCAAACACCTACTGTGCTATGTCATTGACTTAATCACCTTCACTTCAGGCACAACAATAACCAAACACCTACTGTGCTATGTTGTCGACTTAATCACCTTCACTTCAGGCACAATCACGTCCGGAAGCTTGCTATGCCAATCCCACGTGCACATCCGCCTCAGCCCATCGTAATGCCAGAACGAGTTCACGACAAACCTCTCCTTCTTAGCATCCTTTCCAGCAATCCAGTTGTTGTGCAGAATCTTACTCCCCTTTCTCCGGCACGCCCCCATCACATCTGCTGCCTCCCAGAACCCGTGCACCGCGCCGTTAGGGTAAATCGCCCTATCAAGGAAAATAGTTCGGAGCCCATTCTTCCACACGCATTCTTCCTTTCCGGGAATCACATTCTCTCCTTTCACACCGCAGAGAATGTCATAGAAGCTTGGCTGCTCGGATAGCTTAGTCGTGGCTGCATGTGCTGTGATCGCTTCAAATCCTTCGATCGTTTGCGCGTCCGACCTTGCGAAATAAAACCCAGAATTGATCCTCCGGATTCCCGTTCCAGGAAGGCTGGCGTTCGGCTCATTGCTCTGGATCGGGAAGGTGCCAGGCCCGTACGACATGAGGTCCGGGAGAGGATCGGAGAACCAGACGATATCGACGTCTGTCCAGAGGACCGAGTAGCCTGCCTTGAGCACGCGCAGCACGGCGCGGGACTTAAGCTTGGTGAACTGGCGGAAGCACTGGCTGCCGAAGGCGCAGTTCTTAGAGTCGATGCCCTTGAGACCCACGCTGACCTGGAAGAGGGGAGAAGTGGGGAGGAGCAGAAGGGGGAGATTGAGGCAATTAGAGATTGGTGAACTGGCGGAAGCACTGACTGCAGAGACCAGTTTCCATTTACGGGAGAGGAAGAGGAGGGAGGGGAAGGGGGGAGAGGGGAAGCCGGAGAAGGGGGAGAGGATGTGAGGGTGTGGAGAGTGGGGAATGCAAGCTTCCTTTGACAAAGAGGTGCTGGCCTCACTTGTTACAAGCCCAATTGATTCCTAGCATGATTCGTTACTAGCCTGATTCGTTACAAGTGCTCACCTGCTCGTAGTACACAGCCAGCCCCTGGGTAAACACGAAACGATAAAGGTCCTCGTCCAGCGCCGCGACCACGAGATTATCCGCAAGGCCGAGTCCCCTCAAACAACATCCCTTACAAGCCTGCCTCGTTACTAGCCCTCACCTGCTCGTAGTACACTGCCAGCCCTTGGGTAAACGCGAAGCGGTAGAGATCCTCGTCGAGCGCCGCGACCACGAGATTATCCGCCAGGCCGAGTCCCCTCAGGCGACACACGAAGCTCATCAGCATCTCCGCGTAGCCGAACGTAACGGCGACTAGCGTTACCACCTTGAGCCCGTTCGCCTCCCTCACGACGCGCGGCAGCAGCTGCTCCATCGTGTGCGGCAGCCCGATGGAGGTTTTTGGCGAAGGAACGGCTGCAATTGAGTAATCCTCCTGCTTATCGACGGACACGGTTCCGCACTGCCACTTGTGCCCCGTCGCGTCGAGCTTGGGATCCGATTGGCTGTTTTCGACGAAGTTGGAAAACTCGCACGTGCACGTGGCGGGTCGCAGGCGCTTCTGAAGACACATGTTGAAGACTGGGGGGGGGTGGCAGAGGGGAGAGGGGGAGAGAGGGAGAGAAGGGGAGGGGAAAGTGGGAGGGGGGAAAGAGGGGGAGGGGAAAGGGGAGAGTTGGGTTGGAGAACTCGCGAGTCCATCCGAGCCCTGGTGGATTCGAATCCACCAGGTGCCCCTCCTGGTGGAAGTCGTTTCCACCAGGACGCGGAGCCGGCGGAAGCTGTCTGCCCGCGGGCAAAAAAACTATTCCCCATCGCGACCGGCATGCCGTTCGGGAGCCTCAACCCTAAAATTTTAGGGTTGATGCCTCCCGAGCCGCATGCCTTCCGGATGGGTTTTAGTTTTTTTTCTTGCCCGCGGGCAGATCGCTTCCGCGAGCACGCGGAAGCGGTCGCGGATTCGCCCGTGATTTACTGTTCCTGCTCGTATGAACCTTTGAGTGGTGGGGTGCAGTCGCTTTGAAATATTGGGGGAGCGGGGGAAAGAGAATGTGGAGAGGGGGTAATTGGGGGGTTGGTGGGGGGCGGGGGAAGGGGGGTGGGAATGAGGGGAAGGGGTGATTCGTTCGCACATGCACCTGACGGGGCGCTCACACCCTAAACGAGTTTAATAATTATTATCTTCTCTTGCAACTTTACTCAATTGCGGTTGAATTGTACACCCCATACAGCCACTCCGCTACTGTTTCCCCTCCCCGCCCCTCTGTTTTCCTCCTCCCCGCTTTCTCTCCATTCCCCCCTCCCCCACCAGCTGTCCCCCCAACCCGACTTCCACCCGCCCCCCCAATTCTTTCCGCCTGCAAACCCTGCTGTATCCAAACACCCCCCCTCGACCAGCGCCATACCTGACGGTTCGTGACACGTGGCGAGCTTCCACGGCACGTGCAGCGCCGTGCCCTTCTGGTTGACGTACGATCCGTGCGTCTGCGCCATGTGGATATTCGCGAATAACTCCCAGCTGCTATGCTTCCTCGTCGACCAGAAACTCTTTCCTAGCAGGCCCTTCCCCTCCTTAGTCGCGTCGCCCTCGACCACGTGCGAGTAGGAGTGCGCCACGTGGATCGCCGTCACCGCGTCGCTCGCGTCTACGACTTGCCGGACGCCCGACGCGACCATTTCGTGTGTCAGCCAGTTGTCGTATTTGCCGCGTCCGAACATGAAAGGCGGCATAATTCCAGCGAAAAGCGGAAGCGGGGAGTTGTTCCAGGACCAGAAGTCCACTCCGCCATAGGTATGCAGCGACCCGGTTTCCCGGACGAGCTTCTTAATCTCCTTCTCGATCGCCGCGCTGCTGCGCCCGCCGCCGCCGCCCGACGAAGCCCACATGGAAGGTTCGAACGAGTACGGGAAATCCTCCTTCACGTCCCACCGCGCTGACGTCATCACCCAGTGCGGGAAGCTGCGGTGAATCTTCTCGATGGCGACCATGACGTCATTGAGGAGAATAATATCGCCGTTGATGATCATGGAGAGATCCGTATCGGCGGCCTGCGCGCGCGCCACGATGCTGTGAAACTGCGGCACGCCGTAGAAATTGGTGTCGATCGCGTCGTCGACGGAAATGCGCGTCGGGAACTCCCGCGCGAGCGCGTGAAACGTCGTGTCGTTCCCGAGAAGGACGATCTTAGGAGCCGGAGTTAATCGCAGCCACGACAGCAGCGCGCGGCGCTGGTTGTCGACGCTGCGGTCCTTAGGGTTCATCACCGACTCGTACGGCTTCGGGGCGCAGAAGATCGTCAGCGAGGGAGCAGCGCCATCTGCGGCGCCTCTTGAGGCGCCACCTGCGCCGTCCCCGCCGCCGGAGCCTTTTGCCTCCTTGTTTCGGTATAAGCTCTGACTCTTCTTGGCCAATAGGAGGCCTTCCTGGAGCTCGCGCCGCTTGTGCGTGGCGAGGGAGCCAGACGCGACCGCGATCGCGGATAAGAACGCTAAGACGAAAAGTTCCCGAAGCTTCATGGTGAACGATATTAAAGCGCCTTTAGGGCGCATACGCACGCGGGTCTCTTGCTTTGAGCTGGAAATCGAAGGACTACTAGGTTAACGGGTTGAGACCACGAGTGCTAAATGACGTCACCGCACCGCATGTGCTGTATGCGCACAAGCGTTCTGCGTTCACGTAAATTAACTAGGTCAACGAACTTGAATGAACATGTGTGCTTCGTGAGATCGAAACACCTTAGCAACAGAATGGGCCTCCAACAAACAAGGTTATTTGTTCCTAAGGGCGGGGTGCATCATTTTGCAGGATCGCGATCTCAAGCGATCCTCACTACAGTGTTTTGTCTTTTGCGCACAGTAACTACTGTAGCATTGCTGCACCACGACCTTGGGGGATCGCGAAAACTGCCACCCAACCACCCTCGATCACGCTGGATCTCAAAGCCTGCGATCCCACGCGATCAAGGGTTGGAGGTGCACCACGTGCACACCGATCCTTCTCGCGAGAAAAATATTGTCGCCGAACAACAAAACGAAAAGAGGGCGAGGTAAATACGAAACGGTTACGGAATAAACGCTGAAACCAAAATGTACAGGCGACGCCTTGACCGCGTCTCATTGGTGGTTGGGGGTCGGGACTGCAAAACTGCAGGTGGTGCATCATAGGGGGGTACCATTGGGTCGCAAGGGACCCCCAGCACGCCCAACCCAACCAGATTCCACAGGGTTGCGGTTCTAATATCGCGATCATGCAATTTCATGCAATTTCAGCATGATGCACCCCGCCCTAAACATGCGGACTGCTAGCATCCTGATGCTGACTCACAGAAGCGGGAGCAGAAAGGAGGCAGGTTTGGTTGGAATAGCACACAGCGATGTCTGCGAGGTTGGAGCGGGGTGGGGGTGGGGGATTGTTGGACACTAATGAGACGCATTTGTCTAATCGTGGTTTTCTGTGGTTTTGTACGTTTCTGCGCGGTAATTTCAGAGAGTCCGCAGTATCTCGTAACATCGTAATGCACCGCTAAAAAACGTGGCATTTATCTGAGGAGGAATTTCGTGGGAGCGGGATTTCCCATCCTAGGCTTGGAAGGCTCGGGGGAGTCTGAACTGAACTGGGGAGGGAAGCCTAGGGAGGCGGCGGGAGGCGAAGGGGGGAGTGGAGGAAAAGGCGGAACATTCGATTCGGCTAGACACATGTGATGATGCATCCACATGTCGGTAACGTCGACGATCCGATGCTGTAGTGGTTGGTGAAGTGTGAACATTTGACGGTCGAGATGTATTTACAAATGGTAGTTGGTGAGAATTTCTGCCCACGGGCACACTGCATGGGGGAGGGGAGCTTGATCGAATGAACCTGTACAATGAGCGTTACCGCGCCCTTATCACACACCATGGTTGCCTTCCGCTCGATAGGTCAATTCGAAATGAAGGGGCAGGTAGAGTCGCGGAGGCTGTATGTGTGAAGTTTCGGTCAGACGAAGGAAGGGATTTGCTGGCGACGAATTGGTTGGGGGCAGCTGCCAATGGGCAGGTGCTGTGCAGTGCATCTCTCCGTTTCTTACCCCCCTCCTCTACACCCAACCGCCCTCTCGAACCTTCAATTCGGTACGTCCGATTTGATCGGCAGAGGGGCGGACAGCCACCCCAGGAGCCCAGAGGGGAACGACAAGGCCGGAACGAAACAGTTTCGGTTCGGCGGCGCGCTGATGCTGGTCAGGCCAAATTCCCGAGTCGCAGGAGCTAAGGAATTTTTTTTCTCAAAGTTTGTTAGAGCTGGTGACGTAGGAGCAAAATGGAGGGTGAATTTCAGGTCATCTGGGGCAACCTAATCGCAGATTCAGGACGGTTTCTCACTCACAATTCGGTACGGAAACAGGTGGGGTGATTCGTTCATGCGCCAGTACATGACGGACCGCAGGTAAGTGGTCTGCCAGGCTCATAAAGTTTTTCGCGCTATACTACAATGCGGAAAGACCAGAAAAACCAGGTGGTGAGGCAGAAGGGAACACCTAATACCACCACCGTTGTCTATATTGCCGCTAATAGTGTTATATGGAGTACTAGAGACTCCCACTTCAAGCACGTAGGTCACTTTCATCTTCAATGTCACTAACGGTTGAATTTCATGGCAAGCGCTGAGATTCATAGACCACACTGGGATTCAACGATCGTAGAAGAACAGAGAAAATCACTGCTATGACCAACTGCGATACATCAGCAATTAGGAAACGGTAATACTAACATTGCTCTCATCCTGGCGTGCATCTCTAGCCCTAGAAGGACTGAAAGCCTTCACCTTATCCCCATACTCCCTAGGCACCAGAAACACCAGGCAGTACGCAACACTAGCAACACAAGCACCGATAATACTCCCAACCCAATAAATCCAATGGTTCTCCCACACATTTGACCAGACAGCAGCACCGAACGAACGAGCTGGGTTCATGGATGCTCCCGTTAGTGGAACACCCACTATATGATCCACAAGCACGGCAAAACCAATCAGCATCGGAGCGAGGTGAGACGGCCCCTTGGGGTCGACAGCAGTTGAAAAGACTGCGTAGACTAGTATAGCGGTGAGGATGATTTCAGTGAGGACGCCTTGACCTATGGAGACACCAGCACCGAGCACATGTGCACCAAGAGCGTCCTGCAGGAGAGACACAGATACGGAGGAACATATTGTCAATGGCATAAAGGGTGCAAAGTCAGCTAGGACGGTCATGGAGCGAGTACACTGGGCGGAGGGGAAAGCAGGAGGGGGGATGGGCTGGGGTGGGGGGAAGAGTTGTGCTGGGGTGTGAAGAGAGGGGGATGGCCAGAGGAGGGAATGCCTGAGGTGGTCAGATAGGGCCTTACATGTGTGCTGGCAGGTGTTATTGCCTTGACCAGACCAGCACCAAACACAGCGCCTATCAGCTGAGCTGCCACGTAGGCTGCTGCTGTGATGACGTCAACCAGCCCCACTGCCAGCATGCCAAGTGTGACAGCTGGATTGATATGCCCTCCTGAAATCCCGGATGCAGCCCCGACAGCAATCACGAGAGCAAGACCGTGTGCGATGCCTATGGAGAGTATGCGGGTCACATCCAGCCCCTGAACGAATTCACCTGAAGATCAACAGCACAAGAAGGGGTGGGAGAAAAGAATAGAAACGACTATCAGGTTCAGCACAAAGCAATCACGAGAGCAAGACCATGCTCGATGCCTATGGAGAGTATGTGGCTCACATCCAAGCCCTGAACGAATTCACCTGAAGACAGATAAGGGGGAAAGAAAAAACAGCTTGAAGAGCACATGATTTCTATCATTTCTATTTTTTGCAAGGCCCCCTTCTATCATGGGAAAACCAATCTGATTGGAAATAACTTAAGCTGGAAATGACCTACTCAACGCAGGGCTAGTAGCTCCACACGAGCTTGAGACGGCTACCGACACCACGCCAGCCAAGAAAAAGAGCATAATCCCAAAGAGCTCCCTGAAACAAAATTCTTTGGAGCCGTGTGACAATGTACTCACTTGAGACAGCCACAGACCCCACTCCGACGAAGACAAAAAACATGGTTCCGATCAGTTCGGCCGTGGCAGCACACGCCAGGTGAACCGGGTTGGGACGCTGAAGCCACTTCTTGAACTGAGGCATGATGCTGCTGACGTCAGGCCTAATCGGAACAGATTACAGCAATAAAGTTGCCGCTGAGTCTGTAAGAAGCGCGTTGGGCGACGGGTACTGACTGAGTTGAAGTCTCAAGGACACCTGACTATGAGAATAGCTGAAGTTGAGTTATTTTCTAGATTGAATCAAATAACAGCTGGAAGACAAGAAGATTAAGCACGACAGATAATGGTATGGACGAGAGATTTTAAACTTCTGGCGCTGCAATGACCTTCCGTCGTGAGTCGCGACGACCGTCAGTCGGCTCTGGTCGAAGGCACGAGTCCTCTTCATCCCCGCGCAATGCGCGTTGCGCGTGCGTGCTTTCCAAAATTCACGTCAAACCAGGCTGCCATCTGTGCGTGCCTTGCCATCGTGTCCCAGAACACGTCATTGTCTCCTGTTTCTCCGCCGCCGCTGAGAAACTACTAACGAAACTTCCGACGCCGCCGCATGCGTCGCCAAAGACTCAAGTCAGCTTCGAGAGACCCGATGGCGACGATAAGATAGCTCGAGCATGACAAGCGAGCACGTGAGTCGCCAGAAGCACTCGCCCAATCCGACGCGCGACGGTAAGATAGCTCAAGCATGGCAAGCGAGCACGTGAGTCGTTGAGAAGATCTTCCAATCGGAGGTCGTCGTCGTCAATAGCCGGGCCGGTAACGTCGTCTCACGACGAACCAACCGGAGGCCGTGAGACATCGAGCGTACGCGACGCGAGGATTTGCCAGCACGACAGCGACCCGTCACGCTGGACTATCCCAAGCTTTTTCAGTCGACCTGAAAACATCGAAAATGACTGACATACTTTGGTCCTTGGACGATGGCATAATGTTTTTGCCAGTCGAGTTCAAGAATTGAATCGATAGTGACTGCCACGCTGGACCGTGCCATGTCATCACACCACACCAAACCCGAGATTCCCTGGTCTGCTGTTCAGCGAAAGCATACGAGACGAGACAAGCGGGGACAGGCAGCCATGGAATGGAAGCATGCAAGTGCAGAGAGTCAAGCGGCGGAAACCAGTACCCATGCGTGGGAACTTGCGAGAGTGATGTACAGTAATGGGGTGGGCTAGCTTGTCTGCTGCTTTGAGAAACATGCAAAGCGTAACTCTAGGAACCCCATACTGTACATACCTCGACTCTGCCGTATGGCGTCAACGTCAACGTCACCGTCAAAGGGCCTTGAAAGGAGATCCCCCTTGTGCTTCAGGTTTTGACCGCGTTTCTTTAGACATCGACGAGGCGGTGAGGTGACTTGGAACACTTTTACAATAGCGCACCTCAGCAATACTCGCATTTTGGAGAAATACAGCAGTAATTTGTATAAAATAAAACCATAATTTGATGTATATTGAGTCTCCCTTTATTGAGGCGGAGGCTGGCTCCCCAACCGTTCTGTTTTCCCCTTCATAGTCGGCTTCGCTTGTGGCCGCAAAGGACCTCCCTGTCTCCTCCTAGCACCACCCGCCCTCCTCTGCACGGGCCGAGCCTGCCCCGCACCCGAGCCTGTCTGCCGAACCACAGGCCCGGATTGCCTCCACCACGTGGTCCACCCGAGCCTCTCCGTGGCCCCAAACCTCGCCTCCAAATCACCCGCCCCGTCACTATCATGCTCCCTCTCCCTCTCCCTTCCACCCTCCTCCCACTCATCCTCCTCTTCATCTAAACACCCCGCCACCAACACTGTATGCAGACTAGCCGATTCCGACTGTCCTGGGAAATCCGTGGTGAAATGCAAACCACGGCTCTCCCTCCTCCTCAGTGCGCTGCGCACAACGAGCGACGCCACGTTGATAAGATTCTCCATCTCGCACGTCTCCATTGAGACGGCGCCACGTGGCAGCAGCACATTGGTCTGGAGGTCGGCGCGCCAGGCGGATGCCAGCGTGTCAATCTCGCGCTGCGCTATTCGGAGGCGGTCGGTGGATCGGACAATCCCGACGTAGCGCCACATGATAGCCTGGGGATACAATGGGAGCAGGGAAAGGTAGGGGAGGGTATATTCAATCTCCCGCTGCGCTATTCGGAGGCGGTCGGTGGATCGAACAATCACGACATAGCGCCACATGATGGCCTGGGGGTACAACGGGTGGGGAGGACAGGGAATGGTAGGGGAAGGCTTAGTCAATCTCCCTCTGGGCTATTCGGAGGCGGTCGGTGGATCGAACAATCCCGACATAGCGCCACATGATAGCCTGGGGGTGTAACGACTTTTGAGGCGCCTCAAAAGTCAATCCCGACATAGCGCCACATGATGGCCTGGGGGTGTAACGGAAAGGCAGGGCAAGGATGAATGTTAAGGTGCCTAAAAAACTGTCTCTGGGCTACTCGGAGATGATCAGTGGATCGGACAATGCCGATATAGCGCCACATAATAGCCTGGGAAGATGAGCGGGAGGGGGCGGCAGAGACGAGAAGGGCAATATTTTGAAGGGACTCATAAAGAGGACAGGACAAGGCAGGTAAGGGAAATTCCAACATAGCGCCACATGATAGCCTGGAAATTTAGGACAGGACAAGGCAGTTAGGGAAGGGGCAGAGCAGGGCAGGGCAGGGCAGGGCAGGGCTCACCTTGAGCTGCTCTCTGTACTTAGCGGTCACTCCAGCAGCAGCAACCGCCCCTAAATCCCCCCTGCTCAACCCCACCACCTTCACCTCCTCCCCCTCCCCTTCCCCCTCCCCCTCCCACTCCTCTCCCCCCCACATCGCCCCATCCATATCCCTCCCATCAGGCAACCCCGCAAGCACATGGTTCAATGGTGCAGCTGCCACCGCATGTGCAATCGCCGGCTCCACTGCTCTCTGCGCAAACACCAGCGCTTCCAGCAGCGAATTCGACGCCAGCCGGTTCGCCCCATGCAGCCCCGTGCAAGCCACTTCCCCCGCCGCCCACAACCCTCGGATCGAAGTCTCCCCAAACAGACCCGTCTGCACCCCCCCACACATGTAATGCGCGGCGGGGACGACCGGGATCGGGTCCTTAGTGATATCCACCCCCCACCGCTTGCACTCGGCCGCGATGTTCGGGAAGTGTCGGAGGATCTCGTCCGTCGGTTTGTGGCTGATGTCGAGATAGACGAACAGATCGCCGCGACGCTTCAGCTGGTCGTCGATTGACCGAGCTACCACGTCGCGGGGGGCGAGTTCTGCCCTTGGGTCATAGTGAAGCATGAAGCGCTCCCCTGCTTGGTTGTACAGCAGCCCGCCTGCCCCTCGAACAGCTTCGGAAATGAGGAAGGAGTTGGGGCGCGGGCCGGGGGGTTGGATGGGCAGACCCGCGTCCGCAAGGGCTGTTGGATGGAACTGGATGAATCTGAAGGAGGGGGGATAGAGGAGAGCAGAAAGAGGAGAGAGGAGTGAGTTGAGCCCGCGGGCGACGACGTCACGGGGGGCGAGCTCTGCTCTTGGGTCATAGTGCAGCATGAAGCGCTCCCCTGCTTGGTTGTACAGCAGCCCGCCTGCCCCCCGCACGGCTTCGGAAATGAGGAAGGAGTTGGGGCGCGGGCCGGGCGGCTGGGACCAAGTGGGCCAAGTGGACGGGGATTGGAGAGTTGTGAGATGTGAGGAATTGGATGGGGAAACGTGGGTGGCAAGCCAAGTGGCGGTAGGAAAGGGTGATGGTGTTTCCTGCGTGGAGTTTGCTTCTGATTCCTGCTGCCACGCAGTGTTGAAAGATCTCAGAGCAACGGACAGCTGCTGATATGATCCCGGTGACCATTGACTTCACTCATTGCTTTGAGCTGACTAAAAAATCATCAGCATAGGAAAGGGGGGGGGGGGCACGGAAGGGCACTGACTCTGTATGGAGATGACAACATGAAGAGGGGGCGGAGAGGAAGAGCGAAAGGGAAGGGAAAAGGCACTCACTCCATGTTGGAGATGACAGCGCCTGCACGGAGAGCGAGAGTGGCTTTCGAGTACAGTCATGGGTCGATACAGACGGGGAAGCGGGAGGGGGAAAGGGAAAGGAGGGAAGCGGAAGGAGAAGGGGAAGCGGAGGTGGACTCACTCCATGTTGGAGATGACAGCGCCTGCACGGAGCGCCAGAGCCACCCCGTCCCCAGTTGCCACCTGCACACACATACGCGTGCACAGACACATGCGTTGGCATAACAAAAGGTGAGACCGCTCTCAGGACGGAACACGTGCAGGCAAGATAAATGCTGCAACACAGAGGTGGTCAGATGGTGTTTTTCATCGTGACATGCAAAGACACAATCAGACGACTTTCATCTGTTGTGGTTTTTTTCCCGGGCTAAACATCCGCCCAGATCCCGCAGGGCCCTGGGATTCGTTGTGTTGACACAGGCGTGATTTGGGTTAGGGCGCATACGTGAAAAACTATCCATACCGTGGGGTTGGTGGTGTTGGGGTACACGTGGCCTGCCCCCCCTGTAGCGAGCAGCGTGGATCCTGCTATAAAGCGGATGATCTGCCCCGTCTCCGTGTCCAGGGCCTCCACGCCGTAGCACGTGCTCTTCCCGCTGTCCTCCTGCAGTGACCAAGGAGGAAGGGAGAGGGGAGCGTGGGGAAAGAGTGGGGATGTTGATGCTCCAGCTTCCTCAAGTCGATCAGCCCTGTCTATGCGTTCACTGCCTTCACGCCATAGCACGTGCTCCTCTACAAGGGGTGAAAGGTGAGTGGGGGGAGTTGGGTGAAGGGGTGGCGGGAAAGGGTGAGCGGTACGACACAAAGGCCCGAGGAAACAAATTGAGACACAAAGGGGCTGTGGGGAATGGGGAGAAGTTTGGCACAGTGGAATGATGTCAAGCCGTATGCCTGCCTCTGCCGCTGCCTCTGTCGCCGCCTCTGCCTCTACACCTGCCGCTACCTTTGACTCAGCCCTACATTGCCCTTTCTACTAGTTAAAAAACGGCTCCTCTCCTCCTCTGCGCGCCCCACTCCAATATCCCCCTCCCATCTTCCCTCCCGCTCCTCGCCTCCACTCCTCCTCCCTCCTCTCTATTCCTCTCTACGCCTCTCACCTGTCGCGTCAGCAGGTCGATCGCCATGTGGTGTTCAAACATATCGATCCGCTTCGTCTTCTGCGCCGCGGTCAGCAGCGCGCGCTGGATCTCCCGCCCGGTCACGTCCGCCGCGTGAACGATCCGCGAGTGCGAGTGCCCCCCCTCGCGCGCAAGCAGCAGCCGCCCGTCGTCCCCGCGGTCGAAGCTTGCGCCCATGCGCATCAGCTCGCGCACGCGCTCCGGTCCCTCGCGACAAACCACCTCCACGACCTCCACGTCGTTCAGATACGCGCCCGCCACGATCGTATCCGAGATATGATTTTCGATCGAATCTAGCGGATCCAGGACCGCGCTCACGCCGCCCTGCGCGTAGTTCGTGCTGCCCTCCTGCGGCTCGGCTTTAGTCACCACCGCTACAGTGCCCTTCGCCGCGACGCCTAGCGCGAATCGGAGACCGGCAATGCCGCTCCCGATAACCACAAAGTCGTATAGCTTGGTCTCCGGTGGGGGAACTTCCGCCGCTCCCGCACCTGCTTGCGCTTCCACGCGCACACGCGTGCGGCCCGCCAGTGCTTCCGCTGAGAGGGATGGGCGCGCGGAAGCGACACGCGGGGCGCTGAGGGCGTCCGCGCAAGGAGCCAGCCAGATGCGCTTGGCTTGCAGTGGGACGGGAAGTGCTGACGTGGCAACGGCTGCAGTACCGGAAGTGGCGCAGCTTGGCTATAAGCGGAAGGGGAAGAAAAGGGGGGAATGGGGGGAAGGGGGAATGGAGAAGTAGGGGGTGTGGGGAGGGGAGAGGACAGAGGGGGAAGTTGGGGGTTGGGGGGGAGAAAGAAAAAGGTGAGAAGGGGGAAACATGCGACTGTACCTGCCTTCCTCGTTTTCTAGATCCATTACGTGAAACTGACAGCTGGAGGGTTATACGCACGTAGTGTTCTCTGGTATAGCCCCCAAACAACACTTGATGACTAAGTGAACACATTGCGAGAGTGACATACAGAGCAGGGTCCATTTTAGACAATGATGTTGACTTCTTTTTTTTTTAACTACAAATGTCAGCGATTAGCACATACCCGACAAGACTCGTCATTGCGACGAGTGATCCGCCATTGCTGCGTCTTCCTACCGTGCTTGGACCGAGGATCCTGCGCTGCTGCCTGAAAAGCAAACCAGATACACAAAGGCTTTTTCAACTAAGGATCCTTTCATTGCATCACGCCCTTTCCCCAAAGAGATCTACCGGTGAAAAGGGGAGACGCAACGGAGCGGAAAACAAACTAGCGGAAGCTCTTCACCGTCCCGATGTTGCGTGCTATATCCTTAGCGTTTATCACTAGTTATAGTCTGTTGTAGCAAAAAAAAGGAGAATGTACTAGCGGAAGCTCGTGATCTTCTGTGACAAGGTTACAAGCTGGACACTAACGGAGGAACCGACACTGAACTACCGAAAACGCATGTCAGAATGAGATATCCGCGGATCCGATCCCAGCGAGCCACAATGACCAGCAAGCTAGCGTGCTACACGGAGATCCTCTTCTGGTAGATTTCAAATCCTTATGCGACCTCTGGACCGCGAGTCGAAGAAGCACCCACCTGGTGCAAGGAGCACACGGACGGACCAGTCGTTGCGAGAGCCTCCATGGTTTTCACGTGACCAGTCGTGGCTGCAAACTAGCTCGAAGCAAGCTGGTCTACACGTAGCTCACAGAGAAGCCAGCACGCAGCAGTTTCAACGCCTGACCAGGACAGATCAACGCACAACGTAGAAGAGATAAGTGGAGGAGGCTGAAGCTAAACTGAAGCTAAAAGAAGACAATTCTCGAGGCCAGAACATGTAAACCCAAGGTCTCCTGAACCTGTCCCCGAGGAGCATGGAAGGCAAGAGCGTGTTGCGGATTGGACGATGCGAAGATATATTGGGCTGGGAGCCGTTGGGCAGCCAGCCGCAGTCCAATGAGCCGCATGCAAGCTGTGCCAGTTGAGCCATATCACCAGCCGCAACGACTCTCAATTTTCTAAGCGCGACGTTTACCGAAGAGGAAGGAATAGTAGCTGAGACCAAACGTTGAAAGCTTTGAGGTGTAAGTTTTAGCAAAGCGATGATACAACGTTTCGCTGCTGGGATAGGTCAGTTGTTAGGGTTGCGGTGTGGGTTGACGTGTGGTGGTCGTCAAGCGTTCCTGGCGGGGAGTCGTCAGCTTTGGGGGAAGGTGGTTGTTGCAAACTGTTTTGATGGACTACGTGGCGCATCCTGAATGGGTGATAGAACCAGAAGCTTCGGAATGTGGATTTGATGGCGGCGGCTTGTCGAAGCTCGACCATCCGTCAGATCGTGGAAGAGGAGGGCAGAAGCAGGAATGCCATGCTCAAGGACACGAGTGCAGGGCAGGTCTGAAGTGGAAATTCATTCTGCTTTGGGCAGATTTACGTAGCGGTTGATCAATCAGCACACTGAATGGCCCGAGATCGGGCACCTGAATTCCTGAAATTTCATTCTGCTCTGTGCGCTGGCAGCTCCTGGTTCTTCGGAAAATGTAGATGCGCCACCGCCAGTCAGTGATTCAACGCGTCAGCAAACACCACCACCTGCATTTCCCGCCATGGTTCGCATCTGAAATGGATGGAACCGTGGTGTATCTGTATCAATGTTGAATATTCAGAATAGATATGAAGCACCACACGATAGGCTCCCGTAGACAGAGGCTCGGTATACCACAGCTGCCCTCCTTAGTTTCAGTTAAGACTGTATGCACTGTAAAACGTTTGCTGTCTAATAAAAAAACAATGATGTGGATTTTTTCTTAACGATTGTTCCTTTTAGTAACGCATACACCATGTACACGCGCTCTGCAAAATCATGCGATTTGGATCCCAAACCTCTTCTAAGCTTACCCTCGTCCTCCCTTACCCTTCCCCTTCCCTTTTGCCCCACCCTTCATCCTCTTCTTCCCCCCCTCAGCACCATCCGAAATTCCATCCCCAGCACTACCCCTCTTCTTTCCTCCACCCTGTGCCTTGATACTCAGCACACCGCTTCCTGGAAGCTTCCCCCCTCCTGCAGCGATCGCAGCCACAAAGTCCTCATCTCGGCCGTCGATCGCGAACTCCTGCATCTGTCCAGGTGTCAGTGACGTCAGCAGGGTGGCTGTGTCAGGCTCTGCCGCCCCCTCCAGCCGGGATTTGATCACCTTCTGTTACAGGGGCAACAATCATGGGAAAACGAAAGTACATTAATATAACGCGATAGCCACAGCTGTAGCTAAGTATTTGATTGCTTCTACATGGAATGGAAGAACTCAGGTGGCAAATAGATTAACCCTGAGTTCTTCTTCCATGTAGAATCTGGAAAGAATCGATCCCATATCTTAACCCTCTCACCTTGGCCTGATCTGCCGCCTCTGCTAGGTCTTCATCCACTGACTGCGGGTGGGGTCGCAGGTCCACCTGGTGGGGAGGAGAGAACGGAGAGGCGGTGGAGAGGCAGAGGAAAGGGGAGGGGGCAGACGACAGGAGCTCAGCAGAGCAAAAGGCTGACTTGCCGCCTCTGCTAAGTCTTCATCCACTGACTGCGGGTGGGGTCGCAGGTCCACCTGGTGGGGAGGAGAGAGGTGGGGGATGGGAAAGGTAGTGGAGGCGTAAGGCTGACTCGCTGCTTCTGCCAGAAATTCATGCACTGACTGCCGGTGGGGGCGCAGGTCCACCTGGTGGGGAGGGGAGAGCAGTAGCAGCAGCACACAGCACATCATAAAGCGGACACACAGGACAAGCAGAGGAACGCAGAGGGAGGACGGAAACACAAAACACATGCCTACCTCTTTGATTCTGGGGAGAGCAGCCTCTATGGTGCGTGCAGCAGCGGCGTACAGAACACTGTGAATCTTCCGGATCGCCTTGTTGAACAGAGCAAGAACTTGCGTCCCGGGCAGCCGAAGGTTCGCCTGTTGGAGATTCGGGCAGAAGAAAGAGGGAGTGAGTGAATGGGAAGAAAGAAGAAGGCAAGAAGCCTGGATAGAAAACCAGAATCAGCAGCCGTACCTCTATGGTGGAGAGCTCGTGGTGCTGCAGACCGAAGGAGAGCAGAATGACAATCGCAGATGTGCTACAGTGGATGTGCTACAGTGGGTGTGCTACAGTGGGTGTGCTACAGCCAATATACGCTACAGCCGTACCTCTATGGTGGAGACCTCGTGGTGCTGCAGACCGAAGGAGAGCAGAATGACAATCGCAGATGTGCTACAGTGGATGTGCTACAGTGGGTGTGCTACAGTGGGTGTGCTACAGCCAATATACGCTACAGCCGTACCTCTATGGTGGAGACCTCGTGGTGCTGCAGACCGAAGGAGAGCAGAATGACAATCGCAGATGTGCTACAGTGGGTGTGCTACAGTGGGTGTGCTACAGTGGGTGTGCTACAGTGGGTGTGCTACAGCCAATATACGCTACAGCCGTACCTCTATGGTGGAGAGCTCGTGGTGCTGCAGACCGAAGGAGAGCAGAATGGCGGCTTGGGCGTAGGAGAGAGAGGCGGGGATGAGACCCAGGAAGTAGAGGCGGGGATGTGCCAGCGTGCTACACGCACACAAAGCGCCACAGCCACACACAGCGCTACAGCCACACACAGCGCTACAGCCGTACCTCAATGGTGGAGAGCTCGTGGTGCTGCAGACCGAAGGAGAGGAGAATCGCAGCTTGCGCGTAGGAGAGAGAGGCAGGGATGAGACCCAGGAAGTAGAGGCGGGCGACAGGGGGGATGAGGTCCATGATCTGATTGGGACAAAGGCGGGGGGAAGAGGAGGGGAGGGGGGGAAACGCGGGAGAGAGAGGCAGAGATGAGACCCAGGAAGTAAAGGTGGGCGACAGGGGGAATGAGGTCCGGAAGAGGAGGGGAGGGGGGGAAACGCGGGAGAGAGAGGCGGAGATGAGACCCAGGAAGTAGAGGCGGGCGACAGGGGGGATGAGGTCCATGATCTGATGGGGAAGAAGGAGGGCGGAAGAGGAGGGGAGGGGGGGAAACGCGGGAGAGAGAGGCGGGGATGATGAGACCCAGGAGTAGAGGCGGGCGACAGGGGGAAGAAAGAAACCAGGGGGTGGTGAGAGGGGGGGAGGGGGGGGAGGAGTGGGTACGGAGAAGGAAACCAGAAGGACCACACGGTTTTTTTTTTTTTTTTTTTTTTTAATTATTTTTCTTCTTCTTTTTTGTGTGGAGTGCAAGTGAAATTGCACGAGAGCAACTTGTTATGGCAGGAATGCTCCCAGGAAAGCATGTATGTTTACCAGGTGAGAATCAACCAGGTTGTTTGCGTATGACTCCAGTCGCTTCAAATTATATGGCGACAGCAGCGCATTGCTTAAAGCCCAGGGCGTTGATCAAGTGACAGCAGAGCACGGGTGCTAGTAAGCTCACAGCACAACAACACAGCCCCATTACCAGGTGATAGTCCACCAGGTTGTTGGCGTATGATTCGAGTCTCTTCATATCATACGGTGACAGCAGCGCCGCCTTCCCTTCCATCAGCCCTGCCGGCACCACTGCTTCCCGTGCCGCTGCCTCTGCGAACTCAATCTGCGGGTCCAGAATGCTGGGGAATGGGGGGAATATGGGTGGGGGGAGTGGGACCGCAAGCAGAGAGTGTGGAGTTTTGAGATGGATCAAATCCCGCCTTCCCTTCCCTCCCGTGCCTGTGCCTCTGCGAAATCAATCTGTGGATCCAGAATGCTGGGGAATGGGGAGAAGGGTGGGAAAAGGATGGAGGGGTGGGACGCAGTGCATTGAGTTCCTAGACGGCTCAACACATGCCTTCCCTTCCCTTCCATCAGCCCTGCCGCCACGACAGCCTCCTGTGCCTCTGAGAACTCAACCTCCGGAACACACTGCAGAGTACTGAGAGGAAGAGGGAAAAAAAAAAAAAAAAAAAAAAAAAAAAAAAAAAAAAAAAAAAAAAAACACACACACACGAGAAAATAAAAAACGAGAAAATAAAAAACCACCTTCAGAAAAAGAAATAAGAAAGAAAGGTTGGATTAGGAGAACAAAGAAGAGAACAAACAGCGTGCAGCGTACCTGAGGCAGAGGGCAGGCGGCAGGGGCCGGAAGGAGAAACCGAGGAGCGAGAGGAAGCGGCGGTGGAAGTCTGGTTTGGTTTGAGGGGAGGAGAGGGGGGGGGGGGAGGGGAGTAGGAGTGGGGGATGGGGGAGAGAGAGACGGTGTTGAATTCTTTCAAGGGAGCGACAGGAAGCAGCGGTGGAAGTCTGGTTTGGTTTGGGGGGGGGGGGGGGGGGGGGGGGGTGGGGGGGCAGGGAAGCGGAGGCGAGGTGGAAAGAGGGCATCAGACTCGGTCATTGGCTACCCCACCCTCTCTCACGATCAAACATTCACTCATGCACTCACTCACTCGCTCACTCACTCCCTCACTCACTCGCTCACTCACTTCCTCACTCCCTCACTCACTCACTCAATGACTCTCACTCACTCCCACAACACACCAACCTTGTGAGAAGGAGCCAAGCCACGAGTCCTTGGCGTCTGCTGGGCCCAAGTCGTCGTTCCGGAGGGGCTTGAGCATGATGCACGTGTGCTCATCCCTCTAACCCACCAAACCTCATCCCCACAACCCACCAACCTTGTGACAAGGATCCGAGCCACTCACACACACTCACTCACTCACTTACCCACCCACCCCCACGACACACCAACCTTGAGAGAAGGAGCCAAGCCACGAGTCCTTGGAGTCAGCCGGGCCCAAGTCATCATTCCGGAGAGGCTTGAGCATGATGCACGTGTGCTCTCCTGTGATGTCACTCTGTGGGGGAGGGTGGGAGGGTAGTGGTGGGAGGGGTGGAGAGTGGTGGAGAGTGGTGGAGAGTAAGAATCTGTACAGCCCACCAAGCCATCGTTCCGGAGAGGCTTCAGCATGATGCACGTGTGCTCTCCTGTGATGTCGCTCTGTTGGGGGGAGGGCGGGATGATGGGAGAGGGGTGGGTGGGAGGGAAGCACAGGAGAACGTGATACACGGATCGTCATTCCGGAGAGGCTTCAGCATGATGCACGTGTGCTCCCCTGTGATGTCGCTCTGGGGGGGGAGGTGGGAGGGAAGTACAAGGGAGTGGTGGGAGGGGTGGAGAGTGGTGGAGATTGGTGGAGAGTGGTGGAGAGTAAGAATCTGTACAGCCCACCAAGTCCTCGTTCCGGAGGGGCTTGAGCATGATGCACGTGTGCTCTCCTGTGATGTCGCTCTGTCGTGGTGTGAGCAGGGGGGGGGGCGAGGAATGGTGGTAGGGAAGTATAGGACAGTAAGAGGCCGTAGAGGCCACATTGTCACTCCAGAGGGATTTGAGCATGACGCACGTGTGCTCCCCTGAGATGTCGCTTTGCTGCGCTGGTGTGAGCAGGGGCGAGAGAGGGGGGAGGGTGGAACGGGAGGAAAGGAGAGGAGTAAGAGGTCAAGTCATCATTGCGGAGGGGCTTGAGCATGATGCACGTGTGCTCCCCTGTGATGTCGCTTTGCTGCGTTGCGAGGGACGGGTGAGGGGCGGGTGAGGGGCGGGTGAGGGACGGGTGAGGGGCGGGTGGAAGGGAGTGTGGCAGTGGAGAGTAAGAGGCAGAGTAGCATGGTTCTGTGCGGTGCTGTATGGTCCAGTGTGCTAGTCTCCGCCAGAAGTTGAAGAGCTGCTGCCCCAGCCCAAACGACACTCCCACCCACGTAGTGCAGCTGTTCCTGCCCATGGCGCTGTGTGATGCTGTGTGGTGAAGTGCGGCTTACAGGGGTTTGCCGGACGTAAAGAGGAACGAATGCCTGCCTCCGCCAGAAATTAAACAGCTGCTGCCCCAGCCCAAACGACACGCCCACGTAGTGCAGCTGCTCCTGCCGCCTCTCCCCCACCGGCTGTAGCAGAGGCGGCAGGCCTGACCGCGGGGCCAATTGCTCCTCCAACAATGATCCCTGGGGGAAAGAGGGTGGGGGGAGTAGGGCGATGGGGTGGGGGAGTAGGGCGATGGGGAGGGGGAGTGGGGCGATGGGGAGGGGGAGTAGGGCGATGGGGGGGGGGAGTAGGGCGATGGGGCCACTTAAGTCAACTCTCCCCCACCGGCTGTAGCAGCGGCGGCAGGCCCGAGTGCGGTGCCAACTGCTCCTCCAAGACCGCCTGGTGCAGGCAAGATGTAGGGAGGGAGGGCGGATGAATGTGTGTTAGCAGATGTGGCATGCCAGGACAGCACATGGAGTTCCATGGCGCACACAGAAATTCAGTCCTCCAGTAGAGATGGGGTTGGAAATTCCAAAACAATAGAGATTTGTTTTTTAAAATCCTTGACACAAAAAAAAAACAAACAAACAAAGCATACCAGTCAACCACTCAAGCCTTCTGTACCGTACCGATCCATTCTCCCGAGCCTCTTGAACAGCCTTGGAGTGCCGCTGTCCCCCTTGCTCTTCCTCCTCACTCTCTTCCTCGCTATCCTCCCCCATGCTTGTCAACTGCCCCTCATAGTACCTGTGAGGATCGCGAAAGGAGAGATAGCATAAACACGAGATAAGTAACGTATGCGGCTACACTACACTGTATATAGGTTTTATAAACCCTAGACACAGACAAAAACCTGAGAATCAGAACAGAAAACATGACTCAGAGACGAATCTGAGCTGAGATGGGCTGAATGCATCTTTTCAGCAGCAAATCAACCGCTCTGGATGCATCATCACCTGGAGATCAACGGCTGTCAATGCATCACCTGGCCAGCAGATCAACGGCTCTGGATCCATATCCCGCGTGCATGAGATCGGGATGAACGGCGATCCGAACCACCCGAGCACCAGAGAGTGAGGGGAACTCAGAGTCTTGAAATTGCTGGGAGAGCGTCCAAGGCAGCAGATCGCCCGTGGGCTGATGTCCCTGGGAGAGACCTTTGAGTGCTGATGCTCTAGAAATCTCTCCTTCCAGACACACCTGGTGCATGGAGGGGGGAAGAGAAAGGACAGGGGAGGGGAACGCAAGAGTCTTGGAACTGCTGGGAGAGTGGCCAGGGCATCAGGTCGGGATGAACGGCGATCCTCCGGACAACCCGAGCGCCAGAGAGTGAAGGAAACTCAGAGTCCTGGAACTGCTGGGAGAGCGTCCACGGCAGCAGATCGCCCGTGGGCTGATGGCCCTGGGAGAGGCCCTTGAGCGCTGATGCCCTTGATATCTCCCCCTCCAAACACACCTGGTGTGGAGAACAGAGTAGTGAGCAGTGGGGAGAGACAAGAGAGAATAGACAGGGAGGGGAACCGGGAGTCCTGGAACTGCTGGGAGAGCGTGTTTTGAGACGTCTCAAAGAGCGTGCAAGGCAGCAGGTCGCCCGTGGGCTGATGGCCCTGAGAAAGGCCCTTCAGCGCTGATGCTCTAGATATCTCTCCTTCCAAACACACCTGATGCAGGGAGGGGGGGAGAGAAAGGACAGGGAGGGGAGTGGGAGTCCTGGGGAACTGCTGGGAGAGCGTCCAAGGCAGCAGGTCGCCCGTGGGCTGATGGCCCTGAGAAAGGCCCTTCAGCGCTGATGCTCTAGATATCTCTCCTTCCAAACACACCTGCTGCAGGGAGGGGGGGAGAGAAAGGACAGGGAGGGGAGTGGGAGTCCTGGGGAACTGCTGGGAGAGCGTCCAAGGCAGCAGGTCGCCCGTGGGCTGATGTCCCTGCGAGAGGCCCTTGAGGGCCGATGCCCTTGATATCTCTCCTTCCAAACACACCTGGTGCCGAAAGGCAAGAGGAGTGGAGAGAGGAAAAGAATGAGGGCAGTGAGCAGAGAGGGGAGGGAGCTCAGAGTCCTGGAACTGCTGGGAGAGCCTCCAAGGCAGCAGGTCGCCCGTGGGTTGATGTCCCTGGGAGAGGCCTTCTAATGCCGATGCCCTTGATATCTCCCCCTCTAGACACACCTGGTGTGGAGAGGAGAGTAGTGAGCAGTGGGGAGAGAGGTGAAAGAGGAGAGAGTGAAGGGAACTGGGAGTCGTGGAACTGCTGGGAGAGCGTGTTTTGAGACGTCTCAAAGAGCGTCCAAGGGAGCAGGTCGCCCATGGGCTGATGGCCCTGGGAAAGGCCCTTGAGTGCTGACGCCCTTGAAATCTCCCCCTCCAAACACACCTGGTGCGCATTTCACAGGAAAGGCCTTGCTCGAGGTTCAGCTTCAAGGGTAGCAAGAGAAGAAGATTTCAGATTGCGTCTGATACACTGGCAAAGCTCACCTGCAGCACACACAGCACATCGGGTAGTGATGTCTGCGTCTCGTCCACAGGACCTGCATGGGTGAACAAGTGCAGGAGGAGGAAGGAGGAAAACTAGAAATAATGAGAGAAAGGGGTTCGTGAATGGTTTTTGAGAATTCTCAAAAACCATGCAGGAGGAGGAAGGAGGAAAACTAGGGATAATGAGAGAAAGGGGTTCGTGAATGCAAGGGCAGGGAGAATAAAGGGTGTTCTAAAAAAAATCTCAAAACACCCTGGACGATGAGAGAGATGGCGATGGGTTCATTAGCAAGCTTATTGGTCCATCCTCCTCGCTCGCTCGCTCGCTTGCCCCCATAAGATCTATCAGACACTGAGCTGGTGAGTATGAAAGGCACTGCGTCCTTGAGCGTAAAAAACTCAACAGAAACAGCTGGTGTGCAGTTCGTTCTCACTTCAATTGTACGCATGCATTTGCTGGCGGCAAAGACGTACCGAGGAGCACGAAGAGCTGGTGTGCTGGTGTGCTGGTGTATCTAACATGAGCTGCTGCAGGTCGTAGTGTGTATGCTGTAGTCATGTGTATCTATGTGTATCTATGTTCTGGCGGCAGTGACACATGTACGGTGCATGCTGTAGTGTAGTGTGTTAGCGACGTACCGAGGAGCACGAACAGGTGGTGAGCTGGTGCATCGGACATGAGCTGCAGGTTGCATGCTGTAGTCACACATGCATGTATGTGCTCTCGGCAGGCAGTGACACATGTGTGATGTGCACGCTGTAGCGTGGTGTGTGTATGCGACGTACCGAGGAGGACGAAGAGGTGGTGAGCTGGTGCATCGGACATGAGCTGGAGGTCGTTGGGCGTGTTCTTGTAGTGAGAGGACACGTATAGTGCCATCATTCTCTGTCACATGGAGGGAGAGAAGAACCCAGAAAGTGAGGAAAGCGCAAGGAGGGTCAGAGGAGTTAGCCACTTAGCATGTACACGGGTTGATTGGAGAAGGAAGCAGATAAGACCGTCATGGGACGCACGGGAGGAAACGAAAAACCTGAGTGTTTGGAGGGAGAGAGAACGCGTTGGAAAGGACGCACCTGGAGGAAGATGAGTGAGTGAAGCCGAGTAGAGTGAACTCTATTTCTGGTTAGTGCGCCGAGCATCATGGTGAGTATAACGAGTGTGGTGAGGCGACTATGTGATGGGACAGACCTGGAGGAAGAGCTCTGAGGCAGAGTGGAAGGAGAAGAGTGTGTCTCGGTTGACATAGAACAGCTCGCACTCATCTGGGTGTGGCATGCTGGCAGTGTTGGAGAGGGGAGGGGGGGAAGGGCAGCCGGGAGAGGAAGGAGAGGAGAAGAGTGTGTCGCAGTTGACGTCTGGGTGCGGCATGCTGGAGAGAATACAATTGGGCAGGTGGAGTAAGACGGGCGGGGAGTGGACGCAAAAGTGCAGAGCGTTGTCACGGTTCAATCAGACGAGCTCACACTCATTAGGATGACACATTCTGGGCGTGAGGTGAGAGCAGGGAGAGGCAATGTGGGAGAAGGCAATGGAGGGGGGGGAGGGTAGGGTAGCAGGAGGGAGTGGAAGGAGAAGCGGGAGACTGCGCAGTCTGCGGAACCTAACACTCACCGCGCCTGCAGCTTCGAGGTGACTTTTGAGTCGACTCAAAAGTCACCTCGTTTCAAAAGTCACTTTTGAGTCGACTCAAAAGTCTACGGAACCTAACACTCACCGCGCCTGCAGCTTCGGCACATGCGAAGTGGCATCGAGGCACAGCAGGTGGTTCAGTCATTTCTCCACAGGGTCCCCCTCCACATACCGAATCGGCTCCTGTAGCTCCACCTCCCTCAGCACTCGCACACTCACCCCCTGGGTACTACACCTTCCCAAGCCTGTGCCTCAACAAACCTATTACTCACCGGGCCTGTAGCTTGGGTACGTGCGAAGTGGCATCGAGGCACAGCAGGTGGTTCAACCATTTCTCCACAGGATCCCCCTCCGCATACCGGATCGGCTCCTGTAGCTCCACCTCCCTCAACACCCGCACACTCACCCCACCCCCACCACCACCGCCACCACTGGCATCAGCAGTTGCAGAAGCACCACCAGCGCCGGCAGCGGCGGCTCCTTTGGATTGCTCCCTGAGTTGCTGGATGAGCTTCAGGGAGAGGGATCGCCCCGTGCCTTCGTAACTGTAGGGAAAGGGGGAAGGATGGGGGAGGGTGGAGGGGGGGAGAGGAAGGTAAGGTAAGGAGCGGCTCCTTTGGATTGCTCTCTGAGCTACTGGATGAGCTTCAAGGAAAGGGACCGCCCCGTCCGTGCCTTCGTAGCAGTTGGGGAGGTGGGGAACAAGGTTGGGAAAGGGGACTTATGAGGCAGGCAGGCTGACCACGGTCTCTTGAGTAATTGGCAGCAGCAGCGGTAATTGGCAGCAGCAGCGGTAATTGGCAGCAGCAGCGGTAATTGGCAGCAGCAGCGGTAATTGGCAGCAGCAGCGGCGGCTCCTTTGGATTGCTCTCTCTCTGAGTTGCTGAATGAGCTTCAGGGAGAGGGACCGCCCCGTGCCTTCATAACTGTAGGGAGAGGTGGGGGACGTGGTTGGGGAAGGGGCTTTAGAAGCGCATTAAAAGTGGTGCCTGGGATGCTCAAGCAGCGGCGGCTCCTTTGGATTGCTCTCTCTCTGAGTTGCTGAATGAGCTTCAGGGAGAGGGACCGCCCCGTGCCTTCATAACTGTAGGGAGAGGTGGGGGACGTGGTTGGGGAAGGGGCTTTAGAAGCGCATTAAAAGTGGTGCCTGGGATGCTCAAGCAGCGGCGGCTCCTTTGGATTGCTCTCTCTCTGAGTTGCTGAATGAGCTTCAGGGAGAGGGACCGCCCCGTGCCCTCGTAGCTGTAGGGGGGGAGGGGAGGGGGATGTGGGGGGAGGTGAACATCGAGGTGGGAACAGGGACTCTTCTTGAGGCGCCTCAACGTTCAAGCGTGCATTCTTGAGGCGTCTAAAGAATGGAGGTTGGGAACAGGGACTCTTGAGGCGCCTCAACGTTCACGCGTGCTCCCTGAGCTGACTTTTGAGTCGACTCAAAAGTCACCGCGTGCTCCCTGAGCTGCTAAATGAGCCTGGCTACCCCATTACCATCACATACCCCTCACAGGCTAACCCATTTAAAGCCCATACCCGTTAACAGCACATACCCGTTAACAGCACAAACCAACTGGCAGCACACACATACCCGTTCACAGTGGAGCCCATGAAGACGAGGTACAGCCCCAGGAGCGCCTTGACCAAGGGCAGGGGGATGGCTGCTGCCTCGTCATACCTCGTACAGGCTAACCCATTACCAGCACATAGCACGTACCCATTCACGGTGGAGCCCATGAAGACGAGATACGGCCCCAGCAGCGCCTTGACCATGGGCAGGGGGATGGCTGCTGCTTGTTCCCCATACCCCTTAGAAGCTAACCCACTAGCAGCACAGTACGTACCGATTAACTGTGGAGCCCATGAAGACGAGGTACGGCCCCAGGAGCGCCTTGACCAAGGGCAGGGGGATGGCTGCTGCTTGCTGCCCATACCCCTTAGAAGCTAACCCACTACCAGCACAGGACATACCCATTAACAGTGGAGCCCATAAACACCAGGTAGGGCCCCAGCAGCGCCTTGACCATGGGCAGGGGGATGGCCGCTGCCTCGTCGATCACGAGCAGCTCTGCCTGCTGCACTCGCTCCGCGTGCTGTGGCATCACGTACTGTATAGAGAAGGAGGGGGGAACAAGGGAGAGGACGAGGGAGGGGCAAACAGGGCAGAGTGGTTGAAGCAGGTGCTTTGGCAGTCGATCACGAGTAGCTCTGCCTGCTGCACTCGCTCTGCATGCTGGGGCATCACATACTGGAAGAGGAAGAGTGGTTGGAGGGGTAAGCGGGGGAGGGGGGGGCAAACAGGAGAGGGAAAGACGGCAGAGATTGAAGCTGCTGCCTCGTCGATCACGAGCAGCTCTGCCTGCTGCACTCGCTCTGCATGTTGTGGCATCACGTACTGCATAGGAGAGAGGGGAGGGGACAAGGGAGAGGACGAGGGAGGGGCAAACAGGGCAGAGAGGTTGAAGCAGGTGCTTTGGCAGTCTATCACCCAGCAACTCAGCCTGCTGCACTCGCTCCGCGTGCTGGGGCATCACGTACTGGATGGGGGGTGGGGTGGGTGGGCGGGCGGGGGTTGAAATGGAGAAGGTGAGTGGACAAGGCAGGCAGGTAAACAGGCGCATTGCTCCTTGCCCCCCAACCTGCATGGCCCCCAAGCACCTGGATGGTCTGTCTGTGTTGGTGGCGCGGTTGAAGGCGGGGGGGTTGGTGCTTTCCATTCCAGGAGTGCTGGGATTCACTCAAACCCCTTGAACCCCTTTGAACTCCTTTACTGACCATAAGCTCACTCAAATGCCCTGCATGCCCCCCCTCACACGCACCTGGATGGTCTGGCGGTGCTGGTGAAACACGTTCACTCGCACGCTGGCGCTGGGATTGATTCAACCGCCTTGAACCCCTTTAAACTCCTTCGCTGACCACAAGGACAAGCTCTCACCTGGATGGTCTGCCGGTGCTGGTGAAACACGTTCACTCGCACGCTGGCGCGGTTGAAGGCGGGGTTGGTGCTCTCCACTCCACGTGTGCTGGGATTGACTCAACCACCTTGCACCCCCTTGAACCCCCTTCAACTCTTTCACTGTCCACAGTCTCACATGAATGCACTCATTGCTGCCACCTCTCTTCCCCCCCCCCCACACACCTGGATGGTCTGTCTGTGCTGGTGAAACACGTTCACTCGCACGATGGCGCGGTTGAAGGCGGGGTTGGTGCTCTCCACGAGCTCGTAGTCTATGTGCTCCTGGTGTGTTGGAAGGGGGAGGGGACGGGCGAGGGGTAAGGGATGTGGGGAAGGGAAGGGGGTGGGGTGGGGAGCAAGGGAGGCGGTTGAAGGCGGGGTTGGTGCTCTCCACCAGTTCGTAGTCTATGTGCTCCTGTTGCAAGGGGCAAGCAGATTGAGGGGAGGGGGAGGGGTAAGGTAAGGGAGGGTGAGGGGTAAGGGAGGTAGGTAAGGGAGGGGGAGGGGAGCAAGGGAGGCGGTTGAAGGCCGGGTAGGTGCTCTCCACCAGCTCGTAGTCTATGTGCTCCTGTTGCACGGCACAGAGGGGGCGTGGGAAGGGGAAGGGGGTAGCGTGTGTAAGGAAAGGGAGGCAACGGAAGGGGGGGTATAGGGAGTTGGTGTATAGGGAGTTGGTTGAAGGCGGGGTTGGTGCTCTCCACCAGTTCGTAGTCTATGTGCTCCTGGTGTGTTGGAAGGGGAGTGGGTGGGGACAGTGGGGAGTAGAGGGAGAAAGGGGGAGGAGAGGGGGGCGAGGGGAAGGGAAGGGAGAAGGTTGGTTGATGAGAGGGGGATTCGGGAGAAAGGCAGGCGGTTAAACGCGGGGTTGGTGCTTTCCACCCACCAGGGCATGAAGAGCCCGCGGAAGGTGTTGGAATGATGATGCAGGATAAGGTACCTTGTGCCTCCCGTACATACCCGGAAGGTACATGCTGCTCAGCAAAACGACCGTCAAAGCCCTTGTGCCTTACCTTGTACACGATGGCATCAAAGCCCTTGAACACAAACTCAAACAGTGTCTTTAAACAGCGTCTCCAGATTGTTTTGAGACGTCTCAAAACACTTCTTTAATCACGTACCTTGTACCCGATGGCGTCAAAGCCCTTGAACACAAACTCAAACAGCGTCTTCAGATTCTCCGGACTCGGCGCCGTCACAAATATGTTGGAGTAGCTGCATCCGGGACAGGGGAGTGGGGGGGGGGGGGGGGGAGGGGAGAGGAGACAGCGGATAGAGAAGGGTTAGCGAAATAAGCAGTGCTGTTATGCAAATCAGAAAGGTGTAGGGAGAAATCTCAGCATTCTCTAAGACACGGCACCCAGGAACGGCACCACCGCATCGGCCTGATCCAACATGCGACACGCCTCTATCAGCGCTCCCCCAGCACCCCTACTAGAGCCATAACACCCCTCCTTCTCTACCCAAACTGCCCAAGCCATCACACCCATCCAACTCAACCCAGAGCCACGGCCCCAGACAACGCGACACCAAGAGCAGCCGACTTGCCTTGCCCCTGCCTCTAGCAGCAATTATCGCCTCGCCACAGTCGATCTCAAAGTCTTCTCCTAGACAGCATCCAGGAACGTCACCACCACTGCCTTGGCCTGCCTGGCCTTCCAATCAACACATCCCTCCAACCCCTCCCATCTATCCCAGCACATCCCTCCATCCCTCCACCGCACTCCACCCATCCCAACCCCACTCACCCCAGCGCCACAGCCCCGCCCAAAGCTGCAGATTTCCCCCTTCCTCTGGCAGCCGTGATGGCAACTGTGGATCTCAGAGTCTTCTCAGAGACAGCATCAAGAAAAGTCACAACCCAACCCCTTCCGAGCTCACTCACCCAAGAGCCACAGCACCTGCCACAGCCACTCCCAGCACGGCCGACTTGCCCCTTCCTCTAGCAGCAGTGATGGCAACCGTCGATCGCAGGGTCTTCTCAGAGACGGCATCGAGCAACGTCACCACCCAACCCCTTTTCAAGCCCACTCACCCAAGAGCCACAGCCCCAGCCACAGTGACACCTTTGCCTCTAGCAGCCGTAATCGCAACAGTGGAGGACAGAGTCTTCTCAGAGACGGCAACCCACCCATCCCTCCACCCACCCCATCCCAACCATTCCAGCCCCTCCCATCCTTCCAAACCCACTCACCCCAGTGCCACGGCCCCAGCCACAGCCACTCCCAGCGCAGCGGATTTCCCTCTTCCTCTAGCAGCAGTGATGGCAACCGTCGATCGCAGGGTCTTCTCAGACACGGCATCGAGGAACGTCACCACCGCCTTGGCCTGGTCCACCAAACCATCCCTTTTCCGCACCCCACCCATCCCAACCCCTTCCAAACCCACTCACCCAAGAGCCACAGCCCCAGCCACAGCCACTCCCAGCGCAGCCGATTTCCCTCTTCCTCTGGCAGCAGTGATCGCAACCGTCGATCGCAGGGTCTTCTCAGACACGGCATCGAGGAACGTCACCACTGCCTTGGCCTGATCCAGCGTGCGACACGTCGCCACCAGCGCCCCCACGGGCTGAGTGTCGGCTAGCGACTCCTTGAGTTCTTTCAACTCGCGGTCTGATTCTGATTCCACTGCCTCGCCCTGGGGAGACATACAGGGGCAATTGGGATAGTACGAGAGAGGGGTAAGGCCATGGGCTCGTGACTCATGGCACCACCGCCCTGGCCTGGTCCAGCGTGCGACACGTCGCCACCAGTGCTCCCACGGGCTGTGTGTCGGCTAGAGATTCCTTCAGTTCTTTCAACTCGCGGTCGGATTCTGATTCCACTGCCTCGCCCTATTGGAGACAGACAGGGGCATTGGGAGAGTCCGAGAAGGGGGTTAAGGCCATGTGCTCGTGACTTGTCACCACTGCCTTGGCCTGGTCTAGCGTGCAACACGTGGCCACCAGCGCTCCCACCGGCTGTGTGTCGGCTAGCGACTCCTTGAGCTCTTTCAACTCGCGGTCGAATTCTAATTCCACTGCGTCGCCCTGGGTTGGGGTGGGGATATGGACTGAGCTGTGGGAGAGAGAACCGATAAGGACTACACCGTGGGAGAGCATTGACAGACCTCTGTGACAGCGCACTGACTGACCCTTACCTCGGTAAGGGGCGATGGTTGCAAGTGCCTCATGTGCGAGGAGAGCGGCAGGATGTTGAGCTCGTCGTCCATCACACAGCACGTGGGGCAGGAGGCGAGGGAGTCACCTGTGTGACAGTGCACTGACTGACTGACTAGTGTGGGAGGGCACTGACTGACCCTTACCTCGGTAAGGGGCGATGGTTGCAAGTGCCTCATGTGGGAGGGGAGGACAAGGGCAGGATGTTGAGTTCATCGTCCATCACACAGCACGTGGCTGACCTCTATGACACGGCACCGATTGAATTTAAACAGGGGGCACTGATTGACCCTTACCTCTGTAAGCGGTGATGGCTGCAGGTGGCGCATATGGGAGGAGAGCGGCAGGATGTTGAGCTCGTCGTCCATCACACAGCACGTGGGGCAGGAGGCGAGGGAGAGGATGAAGCGCTCGTTGAATCGCCCCACCACATCCCCGTGGGACTCCGTGCGGTAGCGTGCGTGCACGTCCTGTTTTTTTTTGGGGGGGGGGGGGGGGGGGGGGGAGGGAGGGGAGGATTTGAGCGCGTGAGTGAGTGAGCAAGGAGGCGAGGGAGAGAATGAAGCGCTCATTGAAGCGCCCCACCATGTCCCCGTGTGACTCCGTGCGGTAGCGCGCATGCACGTCCTGTTTTTGGGGGGGGGGGGAAGGGAGGAGAGGATTTGAGCGCGTGAGTGAGTGAGCAAGGAGGCGAGGGAGAGAATGAAGCGCTCGTTACACCTCCCCACCACGTCGCCATGGGACTCCGTGCGGTAGGGTAGCGTGCATGCACGTCCTGATGGGAAGGGGGAAGGGACAAGAGTGAGTACTAGAGAGAGCAAGAGAGCAGCACAGGCCGACTGTCCCTCGTTGAAGCAGCAGCCCACCACGTCATCGTGGGATGCCGTGCAATAGTGCGCATGCACGTCCTGACGGGGGGGAGGAAGAGGCGAGGTAGGCCAAGGGTTGATAAGTGTGGAATGGGCAGGAGAAGAGCAAAAGAATGAAGCATTCGTTGAGCCAGCCAGCAGCACTCCAAGGGCAGAGACGAGGCAGGCACTCCAAGGGCAGAGACGAGGCAGGCACTCCAAGGGCAGAGACGAGGCAGGCACTCCAAGGGCAGAGACGAGGCAGGCACACGAGGGTCATTGGTGAGAAGGCAGAAGCAGGGCACACTAGCAGTGTGACACTTTGAACCAGGCGAGTAAGGCAGCAGCAGAGAGGATACAATGGCGAGTGTAAAGAGGCCCGAGAGCAGATTATGTCATAAATGAGTGAGTGAGTGAGTGAGTGAGTGAGTGGGTGAGTGGGTGAGTACCATAGTGCATCATAATGAGGGAAGGAGTGAGGAGTGAGTGAGGGCAGCAGGATAGTAAAGCGTACCATGGCGAGAGCGAAGAGGCGGGAGAGGGAGGTGAGGGAGGAGAGCAGCAGCACGACGATGCCCCCACCCTCCACCGTCTCTATCGTGCGTGCCAGCAGGTTGGGAGTCAGCGCCTCAAAGTCCTGATTGGGGTGAGCGGAGAGGAGAAGAGAGGAGAGGTTAGGGGATGGGAGGGTCTTATGCATTTCGGAGGAGTAGCAGTAGCGGATGGCAGTAGAAGCCATGAAGAGGGCGAAGCCGTGTGCAGGGAGTTGCGACTGGGGGGAGAGGAGTGGGAGGGGTGGGAGGTCCGAAACAGCACACACGACGCACATACCTGCAGCACGCACATGCCGAAGGTGTTCCCTAGGATCTTGTGCGTCTCAGCATAGTAGCAGTAGCGGATGGCAGTAGATGCCATGAAGAGGGCAAAGGGGTCTTCCTTCTCGGGGTCGAGCAGCCCCCTCTGCATCATCTTCTTCATCTGCCTCATTCGCTTCTTGCGGTTGCTGTCAGGGGATGGGGAAGAGAGGGGGGGTGGGGGGGGAGAGGGAAAGCGGGGGACAAGGGAGAAGGGAAAAGGGGAACAAGGGAGTGAGCAGGACAACAGCAGTCCCAGCAGCCCCCTCTGCATCATCTTCTTCATCTGCCTCATGCGCTTCTTGCGGTTGCTGCGAAAGGAGTGGGCGAGGAGGAGAAAACAAGAGAGAATGGGAGGCTGGGAACAAGGTGGCAGCGAGTTCAGCCACCTCTGCATCATCTTCTTCATCTGCCGCATGCGCTTCTTGCGGTTGCTCGGAGACGGGGAAGGGGAGACAGGAGAGAAGGGAGAAAATATCAGGGCAACGGTACTGAGGGAGATGAGAAGGGCAGCAGCGGGTCCAGCAGCCCCCTCTGCATCATCTTCTTCATCTGCCGCATGCGCTTCTTGCGGTTGCTGTGGATCAAATCAAGGAATGGTTGGGAAGGGGAACAAGATACAATGAGAAAGACGGCATTTTTGTAGCAAAAACCCTCAACCCTCCAAAACCCCCTAACCTCAGGCCCCTTGCAGTACCTGCTGAGAAAGAGGTCGTTCTTGTAGCACCAGGGAACGTTGGGCCTCGCCTTGACCACGGCCTCGGATTTTGAGTAGACTCAACCCTCCAGAACTCCCACCACTGCCTAACCCCGAACCCCTTACACACCTGCTGAGAAAGAGGTCGTTCTTGTAGCACCAGAGCACGTTGGGCCTCGCCTTGACCACGGCCTCGGATTTTGAGTAGACTCAACCCTCCAGAACTCCCACCACTGCCTAACCCCGAACCCCTTACACACCTGCTGAGAAAGAGGTCGTTCTTGTAGCACCAGAGCACGTTGGGCCTCGCCTTGACCACGGCCTTGGAGAGCATGTAGTGGAGATTCACCACCTGTTACAGTCACATCGGGTTGCAGTAGTATCAGGATACAGTCACATTGGTTACAGTGTGGTCGTACCGGGCTCCTCACTTGTCGCATTACAGTCACACCCCGCTGATACCCGTATCTGATGAGCACACGGCCAAGCTGGATTCAAAGTTCTAAGGAAATTCAGGATGGTTTTTATGACCACGCGGCTTAGGGTTCAAGAGCTTGTCAGGATGGATGTTTCAGCTTTCCTAGGGTTTGAAGGAAGCTTTATTGCACGACGCATCGCAAGGGGTGTGGGAAGTACGGCGTGACTGGAAACGCAACGCCATCACTCAGACCAGAAGCATGAAATCTGAAACCTGAGGTGGCTTAAGAAAGCGACAATAATGCCACTTGCTCTTGTCCCGTGTACCCCACGATCGCGAACCTGGACCGCTGCCACGACTAAGCTCTCTCCCTACCTTTGACTAGTTTTGACTATAATAAAATCACGACTAATTTCTCGTCCCAATCTCTCACCTGCTCGCGTCCCTTGTCCCCCACGATCACGAACATGGACCGTTGCCGTGACTTGACACCATTCTCGACGAGGGTTCGAATTCTCGCGTCCACCTTTTTCCTCATCGCCGCGACCGCTCGGTTGACACTCCAAAACTCTTTAAAAACAAAAACAAAAACCTCTCACAAAAAAGCTCCTACGAGAATCTGCGCGAAATAGTATCGCAAACACTCTCCCTATCCAGTCAAAGTTCCTGCTAAGTCTCCTGATAAATTCAAGAGCAGAAAGAATGTGAGGCGTCTAGCCTTGACAGACTGCTCTCCCCCATCCGCAACGGTCCTTTTTGCACCCGAGCTCCGCTATTGCTGCTGTTGTCCTCTGATTCCTGAACTAGGATAGCTTTCAAGCCGGTCTGTCTCCTCTTTCGTTGGATTGGAGTAGTGCACTAGTTTCCCGCTGTGGCTTGTGCAAACAGTGCGACATTCCATTACCGAATGTTACACGCTGTGCATCGGTAGTTCATATAGTAGCAGGTAGAAGTGAGAAAGCGATATAAACTAAACGCTTTTATGACATGAATTCTTAGGGCCTGTTCCTACGGCCCCTTATCAGGGACACCTCGTATCAGCTTCGCAATTTTGCCTGGTAAAATTCGCGAAAGTTTTTGGGTTTAGGGAAATTTCAGTGTGTTGTGACGCGAGCCTGATAAGAGGTTGGCCTGATAAGGGGCCGTAGGAACAAGCCCTTACAGGGTTTGTCTATACTCAGCAAATCAACACCTGTTTGATCTGGTGGCGCTTCTTATTGAGAAATTTGTACCGTTTGAAATTCAGACAAAAACATAACCTCTCTTCTAACCGTTGTCACTGGTGAGCGATTGGCGGCATCTCCCCCCTCCATATCCTGCTTGGGCTAAAACTTGGAGCGCCGGGCCTTCTTCCCATTAAACGCCGTGAAATCCCGTCGCTTGGAAAATGACAAACCCTATACACCATAAAATACAATGTTAGTCATGACCCGCCACCGCCACACATCCCGCACTGTTCTGCTAGGGCTATATCTGCCTTTCAACACCATTGCTGCATCTTGTTCCCGTTGTAAACCACAAACACTCGACGGAATAAAGCATAACCCAACCGGTTAGATTGCCATGTACGGGTAGTCTCCATTTAGTCCTGCTACCACACATCCCGCGGTGTCCTGCTGGGGCTCTAATCCGTCTCCCCCCACCCTTGCTGCATCTTATTCCCATCATAAACCAGACTCCACATGTAGCATATCGGCTCGATAGCCATGCACTCTTGTCACCACACATCCCGGGGTGTCCTGCTGGGGCTCGAATCCGTCTCCCCCCACCCTTGCTGCATCTTATTCCCATCATACACCGCCAACCCCACGCTCGGAATCTCCTCCGGAGCCTCCTTCACCCACGCGTACGTCCCCTTTTCAAACATCCTCACTATCTGCTCCAAGCTCTTCCCTCTCGTCTCCGGCGCGAGGAAATAAAAGAACACAAATCCAACCACTCCCATCCCAGCAAACATGAAAAACGGCCCCGCAGGACTCCCCGTCGCATCCGCCAAACTCAGAAACGTCATCGCTACCACTCCAGACGCGATCCTGTTCACAGCCGTGCCGATACCAGCCGCCTGTGCCCGCAGCCTCAGGGGGAAGATCTCGGAGGTGTAAAGCCAGTTAATGGGGCCAATGCCGATCGAGAAAAAGGCGACGTAAAAGCAGAGCCCGGTGAAAGCAACGATGGCGGCAGCTGGGACTCCTGTGGTGGCAGTGACGGTCGAAGAGACGTCTACGTCAACAGCGGTTGGCAGCTTGAGGAAGGCCAGGGCTTGAGTTAGGAGAGCAACCGTCATGCCTGGAGGGAAGGGGAAACCAACGAACAAAGGGGTATTGGGAATTTGGGATAGATTTTAGGTGGTCTGGAGATGATAGGAAGGGTGTGAAAGGCCAAGAGCTTGAGGAGGCCAGGGCTTTGAGTGAGAAGAGCAGCCACCATACTTGGAGGGAGAGGGAGGGGGAGGGTGTGAATGAAACGGTATTTGGGAATTGAGAGCGATTTGAGGTGGTTCAGAAGTAGTTGGGAGGGTGAGAAGGGTCAGGGCTTGCACTGGGAGCGCAGTAAATCCTTAGCACGCACACAGCAGAGGAACTGACGCACACTTGCAGCAGCAGTGCACGCTCACCTGCAGTTGACACAAGCAGCAGCGGCCTCCGGCCAAAGTGGTCCAGCATGCACGTGGCAATGCCAACAAACGACACCTTGATCACCCCCATCAGCAGCGTCGCCCCCAGCAGCAATCAATCACGCTCACCTGCAGTGCAAGCTCACCTGCAGTGCACGCTCACCTGCAGTGCACGCTCACCTGCAGTGGACACGAGCAGCAGCGGCCTCCGGCCAAAGTGGTCCAGCATACACGTGGCAATACCCACAAACGACACCTTGATCACCCCCATCAGCAGAGTCGCCCCCAGCAGCGCGCGCGTCGACGTAATCCCAGCATCCCGCAGCACCACAGGCGAGTAATACACAGCCGCGTCGATCCCCACCGCCTGCTGCAGGAAATTCGTGCCCACGCACACCACCAGCATTCTCCCCACTGCCGGTGTCGGCCACAGAAGCTCCTTCCATACCCCCTTCCCGCCCGCCCCCTCCATTGCCCGTATCACGTGAATCTCCTGCTCCTCTTCGTCCACATACACTGTCCCTTCCCCACCCTCGCCCCCGCTGCCTTCCAGCCGGTCGCGGGAATTGCTTCTGCCCCGGGCAGGGGAAAATTCCGAGCCTGCTGCTGGGCCTTTGCTAATAACTTCTTCCTTCAGCCCTGCTGCTTCTAGGATTTCTAACATTCGTTCATGGGCCTCCTGTTTGCTGTCGGATATGGTGAGCAGGATATCCTTGGCTTTTTTCACCTGCCCGTGCATGATCAGCCAGCGCGGGGATTCGGGCAGGAAAACCACTCCTACTGCGAGGATAAATCCCGGAACGGCTCCCAGCCCCAACATCCACCTCCAGGCTGAATCCACGGGCAGCCCGGAAAGAAGAAAGGAGGTCAAGAAGCCCACTACGATGCCAATGTTGATAAAAAGCTCCCCGAATGAAACCAGCCCGCCACGCTGCCCGGGCGGAGAAATCTCTGAGATGAAAAGAGGAGGTAGAGCAAGACCGAAACCGACACCAACACCTGTAACGACACGACCTGTAACGAGGACAGCGTAGGTGGGTGCGAAAGCCATGCAGAGAGCTCCGGCGATAAAAATCGAAGCGGCTGCTCCCATTGCGAATCTACGGCCCGCGAAATCCGCAAGTCTACCGGCTGATAGCGCGCCAACGAGGGAGACTATATTGAGGATACCAACAAAAATCTCCTGCTGCACGTGGGAGAGATCGAAATCTTCTGCGACAAAAATGAGCGCTCCGCTGGTGACGCCAATGTCTGCATGCCACGTCAGGAGAGGGAGGTCACGACAGAATCGTGGAGACACGAAAGTGGGTCACGGTAGGATACTCGGGAAATTACAATTATGCATACATGGTACGAAGGGCATTGGCATACGTCATATTGAGATGGATGAGATGTCACGACGCAGAAGCACGACCAGATACATTATACAGGATTCTCGTGTTATATCGCGTACCATATCCAAGAAGAGCCAACAATATGGATGCCACGAACACCGATTTAATAATTAGCGATACTCTTGCTATATCGCGTACCATGTCCGAGAAGAGCCGACGATATGGATACCAGAAGCACGACCTATTGGATTCGTTAAAAATGCTCTTGCTATATCGCGTACCATATCCAAGAAGACCCGACGATATGGATGCCAGAAGCGACACCGACAGCACGTACGGCTTGATCGACCCCCAGCCTCTCCGGTGACCGTTACCCCCCTCGCCGTTTTTTCCGGTACTCGTCTTCCCGTCCCTTGCAGGGCTCGAAGGCGGCGTTCGCTCGTTCACCGTAAAGTACGACGATCCTTTTGGAACGCTCGCACTTGATTGGTTCGCAGCAAGGCTAGACGGAGTATCGGATCCTGACCGCTCATCTGCTTCGCTGCTCGTCATGGTGACTGCCGAAGGTGACCTAGAAGACTAGTCGACACATAAATCGACAACTCGCTGAATCCGAACTCTTCTGCTCACACTTGCACGCAACGACTCCTCCCAGAGGAACAGACACGCAAGGAGTGTACTTGAGAAACAAAGATTATGCAGACATCTGTGACATCCGCAAGAAACCCCCAGCCATGTGCAGCTCGAAGGAGGCAAAAATCTCTATCACAAGCAGCCTCACCAATAATTCTCAGCCATGGATGAAATCATTCGGCATTGTCAGTGGGATAAAATTGAGGAATCTGGGAGTCAAAGAAAGCGGGAGAGTCAGAAACCGGAGAAATGGGGAACCGAGGAATCTAGGAGTTGGAGAAAGTCTGGCAATCGGAGAAATCTCGGGCCTTGAGAATGAACGGTGGGGGAATCGGGGACCCTGAGGGCGTGTCCCATGAGTTCATTTGGGGAGAAATCATATTTTTTACGTAACTTCGACAAAGCAAAAGAGTGTACACTCTGACATGAAAAACACGCAGCGCGTCAGCACAGCGCCAAACGAAATTGACCCACGCGGACTCATAGCCCCACCCACACAAAAATCGTCATCCGAATCACATTAGACATGGGCCGCGAGCGGTAACCCGCCACAGTGCGAATCAGCTATGCCCCTTGCGACTTTTGTTTTTTTCGCGCGACTGATTGTTGCTCGAATTCTCAGATTGGGGTAACGGAAGGGAAGACCTGGTACGAGGTGTTGCACGTACCTTGTACGTGGGGTAGTACGAACCTCTTGACGTCATGGGCGTGTCATTCAGGTGCGTCATTGAAGACGCATTTGATGCAGGGAAGGGTTACAGGCGAAAAATAGAGTTACATCCTTAACTTGAACTGTAAACGAACTCGTGTGACACGCCCTGAGAAACCAGGTCGGGACTCGGGACTCGGGGGGATCGAGTGTTGCGAAACATGAATCAGGGAAATCAGGGTCTGCGACAAAAAGGGTCGGGGGAAATAAGGGTCTGCGAAAAATGGTGTCGGGAAATCGGAATTTGCGAAATCGAGGTTGGTTGGGGAATTTTTGCCCGCAACAGCAAACGAGGTCGGCGGAAGGCCATTATGCGGAGGCTCGGGGTTTGGCGCGGTAAAATACGGGGAGACGCCGGCAGAAGGCTACTGGATCTCGGTGGCAGACTGGGGAGCAGGCCTGTCGAAGTACCTGGGACCAGCACTTTGAGTTCTGAGCTGCTCGAATTCTGGCCCTGATTTTCACGGGCGCAGGCCAAACTCAAAACTTCAAATTCGGGCTTCTTAGAAAAGTGTCCTTAGCCCGGTCAAACAAAGGTGTGTGTCCTATTACTTAGCAGCAGGAAGAGGCACGCTACTACTCATCTACACACCTACAGCCCCTACATCGTGGGCAGAAACATTTCAGGTTAAACATACGGGGGATGGGGAAAGGGGGAAGAGTTATAACTGGGTGGGGGGGGTCCTTAGAAACAGAAATCAAAACTTGGAAGGCCCAAACGAGGCCCTTAACTGTCACGGGTGCCATCCGAATCTAACACGTGAATCGGTCGAGCTGCTCCGAACGTAGCCCGGAATGTTCAGGGCATTAAGGTCATATGCCCTTGCTTCGACAGCCCTGCTGAGGAGGACAAGGGCTGCGCGGGCGGGGGGCTGGGGGTTGTGTCAGTGAGTATTGCTTGGGGAGAGATGTTCAGGCTGGTTTAGCGAAGAACAGCGAATGCCGCAGCAGAAAGTTCGACGAATATCCAGTCATCGTTTCCTCCGTTCTACCAATCACCAAGACTCACAAAGCAACGGACATCACCAACCATCCAATCAAATACTCCTGCCGAACTCCGGTGGTGTTCCCGCTTGGCAAGGGAAACGCGATCTACCTGACCAGGGCCCCCCAGCACTTAGTCGCCGCACCTGACGGTCAATAGATCTGTGACTTTACCTGATAGCATTAGCATTTCATACAGAAGCGAGTACACGAAAACCATATCTAAGCAATAAACATTGCAGTGAAAAATCTGCTCTACAACAATTTCTATCTGCTCTCCTCCCCATGCTTCGGCATATCCGTACACCTCTTTTGACCGCTGACTCGCCTACACATGCGGACAGCCCCGTCCGCTTGCCTTTCCACCTCGCAAATACACCCTGGAAAAGGATTTGCGTAGAAATTCTCCTCCAGCTTCGGATTTTCACCAACCTCCCGAAGATGAGGAGCACCCATTCCTTCTTTGTGCGCTTGTCTGATGAGTCTCCGAAACGTCTTCCACCTAATCTGGCGTGACGTCAATTGGTCAATATGCCGAATGATGGCTTCCCTGCACAGTGGGCAAACCACACGAGAGATTGTGAGTGGGGAAAGGCACAAGTAGAGAGGACATCCGGGGGTCACCATGTCCCGAATGTCACCATGGAGGCGCGAGCCATGTTGCCCTCATACGTGTACCACAAACACAACGCTCTGCACCGCCACTGTCTTTTGTGAAAAACCTCTGCACCGCGTGGCACCACTCTCCACCCCCCTCCTCACCTGTTAGGGATGACAGTCTTCGTATGGCCATCAAACCTTCGATGCCCCTGCACTGCTCTCGACATGTTGCCCTCATATGTGTACACAAACGCATCGCTCTGCACCGCCCTCCTCTCCGTTCTCATGTTTTTCTCACCTGTTGGGAATGACAGTCTTCCTATGGCCTTCAAACCGCCGGTGCCCCTGCACAGCCCGAGCCATATTCCCCTCGTACGTGTACACAAACGCATCGCTCTGCACCGCCACAGTGTAGTCCACGGCTGCCAGTCTGTTCTGGTACGCGCCTAAACTTGCGAGTTCTTCAGCCGTTGCCAGCGTGCTGTGTGTGTACGTGTTTGGGTACAGACGAGTCAGGTCCTGGTGGTGGGGGCAGGAGGCATGGGGGATGTTGGGCATAAGACAGTCATGCTGCTGTCAACCAGTTCTGGTTCCCTGTGTGCTGGTATGCGCCTACGTTCCGGTTGGGGTTGGGGTTGGGGAATTTCAGTGGCCATAGCTCCCCGCTCCACTCCTCTCTCCCTTTCCCTCACCTCCAGCCCATTGGACCATTAGATGTCCCCAGCAACCATGTGAATGAGCGTTTCATTCGGATATTATCAACTCAAAGCCCCCCCTTCCCCTCCTCTCTCCTTCTCACTCACCTCGAGTCCATTAGAGCCGTAGATGTCTCCAGCAGCCACGTAGATGAGAGTCTTATTCGGATACCCCATGGCGCGCAGAAACAGCGCCGTCTCCCTTGGTGTGAGCGGGCACGCCCCTTCCGTTCTCCACCTACCTTGAGACAGCCACACCCGTTGCCTCTGAGCCTCAACCCCTCCTTTTTCTCACCTCCAGCCCATTGGACCCATAGATATCCCCAGCAGCCACGTAGATGAGAGTCTTATTCGGATACCCCATGGCCCGCAGAAAAAGCGCCGTCTCCCGCGGGGTAAGTGGACACGCTCCCTCTGTTCTCCGCGCCTCCCCGTCAATCTCCTTCTCCTTCCACCGCGAGTTGTTCAGCCGCATGGCCTTCAATTCCTCCCTCTCTGATGCCTGCAGCCCGTGGTCGCACCCTGTGAATGCCAACATGTCCTTCTCGTATCTGGGTGGCGACAGGGAAGCGGGAGGGAGAGGGGAAAGGGGAAGTAGGGGCAGTGAGGGTGGAAGCGGGAGAGGGGCAGGTGGGTCCGTTTCGCCTTCTCCTTCCACCGTGAGTTGTTGAGCCGCATGGCCTTCAATTCCTCCCTCTCGCCCTCCTTCAGCCCGTGATCGCACCCTGTGAATGCCAGCATGTCTTTCTCGTATCTGGGGGGGTCAGTCACAGGGGAAAGAAGAGAAGCGGTGAAGAAAAGGTGAGTCGATCTCCTTCTCCTTCCACCGCGAGTTGTTGAGCCGCATGGCCTTCAATTCCTCCCTCTCGCCCTCCTTCAGCCCGTGGTCGCACCCTGTGAATGCCAACATGTCTTTTTCGTATCTGGGGGGGTCAGTCACAGGGGAAAGAAGAGAAGCAGTGAAGAAAAGGTGAGTCGATCTCCTTCTCCTTCCACCGCGAGTTGTTGAGCCGCATGGCCTTCAATTCCTCCCTCTCTGATGCTTGTAGCCCGTGGTCGCACCCTGTGAATGCCAACATGTCTTTCTCGTATCTGGGTGTTTAGTGACAGGGGAGAGAGGAGAGGGGGTGGAATTGACATTGGAAGTTGGGTCGATTTCTCTGAATCCTTCTCGTTCTTGAAAGTAAAAGCTTTCTTGACAAAGAAAAGCAAGCAGCAATAAGCAAGAAACTCATAACATGACCCACCTCAGGTGCAGCGCAATGTACGGGCCCCTGGCGTGCAATCTCTTGCCGCAACTCATATAATCATCCTGCCCCCTTATAAGCCAAGCAAGAAGCAATGAGCAATAAGCAAGAAACTCATCACATGACCCACCTCAAGTGCAGCGCAATGTACGGGCCCCTGGCGTGCAATCTCGATATCAGATTCGCCGCAATCTGCGAGATCGACGGCGTGTAGCGCAGCGACTTGTAGTTGGCGCGGCACCGCAGCCGTTGGATCGAGTCCGGCACGCCGTTGTTGGCAAGCCGCGAGTCGGTGAGGGGGAAGCGCATCACTCGGTGCTTCTTGACTCGTGGGAGAAGGTCCTCTCGGTAGTAGGAGAACTGGCGGGGGGGGGGGGTGGATAGGTAGACAGGCAGGCAGGCACACACACATGAGTCGATGAGAGGGAAGCGCATCACTCTGTGCGTCTTGACCCGCGGCAACAGGTCCTCTCGATAGCAAGAGAACTGGCAGAGGGGAGGTGCGGAGGGTGGGGTAAAAGACAGTGGTTGAGGATCCAGGCAGGCAGGCAGGCGGGCAGGCAGGCACATGAGAGTCAGTAGGCGGGAAGCGCATCACTCTGTGCTTCTTGACCCGCCGCAGCAGGTCCTCTTGGTAGTAAGAGAACTGGGGATGGGGGGGAGGGAGGGGACATGAGACAGTCGTTAAGAAGCCTTATAGCCAGCCAGCCAGCCAGTCAACCACATGTGAGTCGGACAGGGGGAAGCACATCACTCGGTGCTTCTTGACTCGTGGCAGCAGGTCCTCTCGGTAGTAAGAGAACTGGCAGGGGGGGGTGTAGTGGGGAGGCAAGAGAATGTGAGAAACTACAAGACAAAAACCTTTTCAGAGACTCCATGTCAAGAAAGGTTTTTGTACAAGAGCTCTTTGTCCTTGTGCACGGGTTCGGGTCACACGGAGAAAGAGCATTCATGGTGAACACTCTTATATCGTGCACACTCAAGATAAGAGGGCTCAGCATAGATCACAAGCAACAAAATGGGGATCTTACCGGCAACCAGGAGACTGGGAACTTCTCGAGAGGCTCAATGTGCTCCACGCACTTGGGCAGCTGACAAAAGAGCAGTGTGCAGGTGGTGCCATGGCTACCAGGCAATGGAACAAGACAAGCTTACCGCCGACCACGAGACGGGGAACTTTTCTAGCGGTTTGATGTGCGCCACGCGCTTGGGTCACACGGAGAAGCCAGAGAGCATAGATTCTTCCATGGATAGCAGTGAGTGTGCATGAGAGGAGTGTGCACAAGGCAAGTGGACTTACCGGCGACCAGGAGACAGGGAACTTCTCGAGAGGCTCGATGTGCGCCACACGCTTGGGCAGCTGGCGCACGATTCGAATGTCCTTCTTGAGCGAGCTGATGAAATGGTCAAGATCGAATATGTCCTCAAACTCGCTGGGGGTTGGGAAGGGTGTAGGGGGAGGGAGAGGGGTGCAGAGCGGTGCAGAGAGGGGCAGAGAGGTGCACAATTCGAGTGTACTTTAGCGAGCTGATGAATTGATCCAAGTCGAATATGTCCTCAAACTCACTGGGGGTTGGGGAAGAGTGTAGGGGGTGGGAGAGGGGTGCAGAGTTGCTCACGATTTTGATGCAAAAAGACAACCGCTGATCATCAAGTAACCAGATGGACCAGAAGGAGGTGTGGTCGAGCTCTGGATGACTTTTGAGTCGACTCAAAAGTCAACTTGATTATTGCCTCCAGACGAGGGGAACGACTGACCTGGGGTCGGCCCAGAAGGAGGTGTGGTCCAGCTCAGGAACCACGAGAGAGGTGTGGTCGAGCCCGACCAGAGATGGGAAAGCCCAGGTGCCCAGACTGACCTGGGGTCGGCCCAGAAGGAGGTGTGGTCGAGCTCAGGAACCACGAGAGTGACATTCATGATGCGCGCCACTGCCACCATGTCACAGATCTGAGGGGGGTGGTGAGGAGAGGGGAGTGGGGGAGGGGGGGGAGAGCACGATGGGAGAAGGAGAAGGAGAGCATGATGACATGCAGTGCCCCTCGCAAGGGAACCACAAGGGTGACATTCATGATGCGTGCACTCTGGGAAACGCTTGACAGGTGGAACGTATGTGTCACTGAAAGGGACTCTTACGGGTCACTTTGTTGTTTTGGCCTTCATTTTCCTTAATCTTCTTCTTCTTCTACTTTAATTTGCTTCAGCATATTGTTCGTTATTATTGGGATACCACCTTTCCCAATCCTTTCCACCCTCCAAATCCGACGCTCACACCCCGCACTCTTACTCCACACTCATTATTCCACATCCCCGCACTCACGGCAGCTCTCATCTGGTTGAGACCCCCGTTGGCTGTGACCAGCAGATAGCCGCACTCATCTACAGCCCAGCACTCTCACCCCACACTAACAGCCCCACAGCCAAGGCCCCACACTCACACCCCACACTCACACCCCACACTCACACCCCACACTAACAGCCCCACAGCCAAGGCCCCACACTCACACCCCACACTCACACACCACACTCACACCCCACACTCACAGCAGCTCTCACCTGGTTAAGACCCCCATTGGCTGTGACCAGCAGATAGCCGCACTCAACCACAGCCCGGCACTCAACACCCGCACTAACAGCATCACAGCCCCACATTCACAACCGCACACTCAAAGCACCACACCCACAGTCACACACCCACAGCACCACACTCACGGCAGCTCGCATCTGGTTAAGGCCCCCATTGGCTGTGACCAGCAGATAGCCGTTGGTGGAGCCCTTGACAGGCACTGGGGGAGAGGGCGGGAGGGCGGGACGGGGGTAGGTGGGAAGGGGGGAAGCGGGGGGAGAAGCGGGGGGAAGAGGAGGGGCGGGGGCAAGGGGGGGAATTTATTGGCTGTGACCAGCAGATAGCCGTTGGTGGACCCTTTTACAGGCACTGATACGGGAAGGTGATTGAGTGAAGGAAGGGAGAAACGGGGAGTGGTGAACGACAATATGCGGTAGGATTGAACGAAGACGGATGCAGAGAGGGGAGCCCGAGTACGGGGTGGAGAGGGGTTGGGGAGAGTTGGAGGAGGTTGAGTGAGTTCAAAAGCTTTTGCGGAAGCTTTAGTCGAATCAACAGCTAAAAGTCCTCTCAGCCCTCACGAATCTCTGTACACAAGCTTGAGCTGAAATAATGATTTTACCAGCCTTCCTCCCATTCCCCCTTTTCCACTTGTCTTCCAACCTTCCTTCCCTCCTCCCTTCCATCCTCCCTTCCCTCACCCGTCCCACTTCCCGTCCCTCTTCCTTCCTCTCTTCCTTTCTCCTTTCCCTCTTCCCTCTGCCCGGCTTTCCCAACCCCTCCTCTCCCCGTCCCCCCTCGCATACCTTTATGGGTGCGGGAGCGTGCAATGCACTGCGCATATTTATGGCTCTTGGGGGCTCTCCAAAGGAATTTCTCTCTAACGGATATAGGGGGCGCGTGGGAAAGAGAAGCGTTGAATCCGAATGGGGGCAGAGGAACGGAGGAGGAGGAATGAGAGTAGTCATTGAGAGGGGAAAGTGGAGAGACCAGGGAGGAGGTGAGAGAAGAAGAGGAGGAGAGTGAGGTTCTGCTCTCGTCGCTTGCGTCCTCATGCCTCCCCTCGTCTGTATGCTGCTCGTGCCCCCCTCGTTCCTCGTGTCCCCCTCGATCCTCATCACCGTATTCCTGGTCCTCCGTTCCTCCATGCCCACGCTCCTTCCGCTCCTCCTCATGCTCCCTCGCCCCCTCCTCATGCTCCCTCGCCCCCTCCTCATGCTCCCTCGCCCCCTCCTCATGCTCCCTCGCCCCCTCCTCATGCTCCCTCGCCCCCTCCTCATGCTCCCTCGCTCCTCATGCTCCCTCGCCCCTCCTCATGCTCCCTCGCCCCCTCCTCATGCTCCCTCGCCCCCTCCTCATGCTCCCTCGCCCCCTCCTCATGCTCCCTCGCCCCCTCCTCATGCTCCCTCGCCCCCTCCTCATGCTCCCTCGCCCCCTCCTCATGCTCCCTCGCCCCCTCCTCATGCTCCCTCGCCCCTCCTCATGCTCCCTCGCCCCCTCCTCATGCTCCCTCGCCCCCTCCTCATGCTCCCTCGCCCCCTCCTCATGCTCCCTCGCCCCCTCCTCATGCTCCCTCGCCCCCTCCTCATGCTCCCTCGCCCCCTCCTCATGCTCCCTCGCCCCCTCCTCATGCTCCCTCGCCCCCTCCTCATGCTCCCTCGCCCCCTCCTCATGCTCCCTCGCCCCCTCCTCATGCTCCCTCGCCCCCTCCTCATGCTCCCTCGCCCCCTCCTCATGCTCCCTCGCCCCCCTCCTCATGCTCCCTCGCCCCCTCCTCATGCTCCCTCGCCCCCTCCTCATGCTCCCTCGCCCCCTCCTCATGCTCCCTCGCCCCCTCCTCATGCTCCCTCGCCCCCTCCTCATGCTCCCTCGCCCCCTCCTCATGCTCCCTCGCCCCCTCCTCATGCTCCCTCGCCCCCTCCTCATGCTCCCTCGCCCCCTCCTCATGCTCCCTCGCCCCCTCCTCATGCTCCCTCGCCCCCTCCTCATGCTCCCTCGCCCCCTCCTCATGCTCCCTCGCCCCCTCCTCATGCTCCCTCGCCCCCTCCTCATGCTCCCTCGCCCCCTCCTCATGCTCCCTCGCCCCCTCCTCATGCTCCCTCGCCCCCTCCTCATGCTCCCTCGCCCCCTCCTCATGCTCCCTCGCCCCCTCCTCATGCTCCCTCGCCCCCTCCTCATGCTCCCTCGCCCCCTCCTCATGCTCCCTCGCCCCCTCCTCATGCTCCCTCGCCCCCTCCTCATGCTCCCTCGCCCCCTCCTCATGCTCCCTCGCCCCCTCCTCATGCTCCCTCGCCCCCTCCTCATGCTCCCTCGCCCCCTCCTCATGCTCCCTCGCCCCCTCCTCATGCTCCCTCGCCCCCTCCTCATGCTCCCTCGCCCCCTCCTCATGCTCCCTCGCCCCCTCCTCATGCTCCCTCGCCCCCTCCTCATGCTCCCTCGCCCCCTCCTCATGCTCCCTCGCCCCCTCCTCATGCTCCCTCGCCCCCTCCTCATGCTCCCTCGCCCCCTCCTCATGCTCCCTCGCCCCCTCCTCATGCTCCCTCGCCCCCTCCTCATGCTCCCTCGCCCCCTCCTCATGCTCCCTCGCCCCCTCCTCATGCTCCCTCGCCCCCTCCTCATGCTCCCTCGCCCCCTCCTCATGCTCCCTCGCCCCCTCCTCATGCTCCCTCGCCCCCTCCTCATGCTCCCTCGCCCCCTCCTCATGCTCCCTCGCCCCCTCCTCATGCTCCCTCGCCCCCTCCTCATGCTCCCTCGCCCCCTCCTCATGCTCCCTCGCCCCCTCCTCATGCTCCCTCGCCCCCTCCTCATGCTCCCTCGCCCCCTCCTCATGCTCCCTCGCCCCCTCCTCATGCTCCCTCGCCCCCTCCTCATGCTCCCTCGCCCCCTCCTCATGCTCCCTCGCCCCCTCCTCATGCTCCCTCGCCCCCTCCTCATGCTCCCTCGCCCCCTCCTCATGCTCCCTCGCCCCCTCCTCATGCTCCCTCGCCCCCTCCTCATGCTCCCTCGCCCCCTCCTCATGCTCCCTCGCCCCCTCCTCATGCTCCCTCGCCCCCTCCTCATGCTCCCTCGCCCCCTCCTCATGCTCCCTCGCCCCCTCCTCATGCTCCCTCGCCCCCTCCTCATGCTCCCTCGCCCCCTCCTCATGCTCCCTCGCCCCCTCCTCATGCTCCCTCGCCCCCTCCTCATGCTCCCTCGCCCCCTCCTCATGCTCCCTCGCCCCCTCCTCATGCTCCCTCGCCCCCTCCTCATGCTCCCTCGCCCCCTCCTCATGCTCCCTCGCCCCCTCCTCATGCTCCCTCGCCCCCTCCTCATGCTCCCTCGCCCCCTCCTCATGCTCCCTCGCCCCCTCCTCATGCTCCCTCGCCCCCTCCTCATGCTCCCTCGCCCCCTCCTCATGCTCCCTCGCCCCCTCCTCATGCTCCCTCGCCCCCTCCTCATGCTCCCTCGCCCCCTCCTCATGCTCCCTCGCCCCCTCCTCATGCTCCCTCGCCCCCTCCTCATGCTCCCTCGCCCCCTCCTCATGCTCCCTCGCCCCCTCCTCATGCTCCCTCGCCCCCTCCTCATGCTCCCTCGCCCCCTCCTCATGCTCCCTCGCCCCCTCCTCATGCTCCCTCGCCCCCTCCTCATGCTCCCTCGCCCCCTCCTCATGCTCCCTCGCCCCCTCCTCATGCTCCCTCGCCCCCTCCTCATGCTCCCTCGCCCCCTCCTCATGCTCCCTCGCCCCCTCCTCATGCTCCCTCGCCCCCTCCTCATGCTCCCTCGCCCCCTCCTCATGCTCCCTCGCCCCCTCCTCATGCTCCCTCACCCCCTCCTCATGCTCCCTCGCCCCCTCCTCATGCTCCCTCGCCCCCTCCTCATGCTCCCTCGCCCCCTCCTCATGCTCCCTCGCCCCCTCCTCATGCTCCCTCGCCCCCTCCTCATGCTCCCTCACCCCCTCCTCATGCTCCCTCACCCCCTCCTCATGCTCCCTCACCCCCTCCTCATGCTCCCTCGCCCCCTCCTCATGCTCCCTCACCCCCTCCTCATGCTCCCTCACCCCCTCCTCATGCTCCCTCACCCCCTCCTCATGCTCCCTCGCCCCCTCCTCATGCTCCCTCGCCCCCTCCTCATGCTCCCTCGCCCCCTCCTCATGCTCCCTCGCCCCCTCCTCATGCTCCCTCACCCCCTCCTCATGCTCCCTCGCCCCCTCCTCATGCTCCCTCGCCCCCTCCTCATGCTCCCTCACCCCCTCCTCGTGCTCCCTCGCCCCTCCTCATGCTCCCTCGCCCCCTCCTCATGCTCCCTCGCCCCCTCCTCATGCTCCCTCGCCCCCTCCTCATGCTCCCTCGCCCCCTCCTCATGCTCCCTCGTCCCCTCCTCATGCTCCCTCACCCCATCCTCGTGCTCCTCTCCTGCTGCCCTCTGCTCACCATCCTCCTCCCCTTCCCCTCGCCCATGCACTTGTCCCTCGTGCTCCTCATGCTCCACGTCCCCTTTCCCCGCTTCCACCGCCTCGCCCGTAACACGGATCCTTTTACTTCTGTACTCCCCTCCTCCCCCCCCCCTCCCCTTCACCCTCCGCTCCCTCCACATCCTCTTCATCCTCCCTCTTCCTCTCTGCACCCACCTCTAGTCTTTCCTCCTCCCGATCCTTCGTCTCTCCCCTATGTTCCCCCGTTTCCTCATCCTCCCCAACTGCGCTATCCCCAGTAGCCCCCACCCTTCTAATTTTCCCTACTGCCTCTGCTTCTTCTTCCTCCTCCTCCTCCTTCCCGATCGTCCTCCGCACCTCACCACTCCCCCCATCTCCACCTCTCCCACTCTCTCTCCGGCCCTCTCGCGTCTCCTCCTCAGCACCGTCCCCCTCACTCTCCCCTCCCCTGTACTCGTCCTCTCCCTCCATATCCCCGCTCCCTGCCCCGCCTCTGCTTTCCGCCTTCATTCTCCTTTTCTTCAACAAACCATCTCCAATCCCCCTCCTCGAAAGCCCATTCACTTCCCCCGTCCTCCACAACCCATCCCCATCCCCACTCCTCCCCTTCACACCGCGTCCCTCCTCTCCTTGTCCCTCTGAAAGTGCTTTCTCCACAGACTGAAAACCCGAGCCTGATTCCGAACCAAATACAGAACCCAACTCTGTACCAAATTGCGAGCCTTCAGTTACCCTGGTGACACGGCGTCTCTCTTTTAGACTCTCCGCGATTTCCGCCGTGTGTGGCGGCGGTAGATCCTTGTCTAATCCCAGATCGTCACCGGAACCCGCAATGAATACTCCAGCGTGGCCGCCTCTTAAGTTTCGGCTCGCGAATAAAGCGTGCGGCGCGACGCCGTTACCGTTCACGATTTCGCCCGCAGGCACGACCTTCCCCTGATGCAATCAAACGAGTGGCAAGTGCACGACAAAACGAAAGTCACGAAAATTAAGAGCGCACGAACGCAGTTGAGTTGCCCTGCGATGTATGGGTGTCAAGGGGAAGGGGAGGGGCTTTTTATGGACGGAAGAACATTCGAGGTCATCTGGTGAAGCATGCGTGTCGCATTGAGCACATGCGTTGCCCAACCAGTCGGCGACAATTGAGCATGTAGTGTATTGTTTACAATTGAACAGGTATGAGGGCATAATTGTGTTGCATGAGTTTGGACGGTACTCATCTTAGCTGCTTCTGTTCCATACACAGGTTCGTTGCAGACAGGCACGAAAGCACGGACTCTGATCGACGCTTCGCAGGCAAGAGCGTAACTCGTTAGAGAACAGTTGCAAGTTCCAGCATGTAAACCATTTGAACAAGACAATCGCTATTAAGACGAAAAATGAATGCAACTAGCTCAGGACGTTTCGCGATTTAAAGTGTTCGAGCATACCTTATTCAGTGAAGGTATTGACTTGAAAGAGACGGCAACCATCATAATCCCAGCGAACAGGAGAAACATGGACGCGCGGAAGCTCAGCGGGACCACTCTCTTCCCCTCGTGAGCCTTCCCTCTGAGCCATCTGCTGCCGTCCGCATACGCCTTCCGCACCGATCGCTTCCCCTCCCCCGCTTCCGCTCCCCCGATCACCGTTCCGCCGATCACCAACCCCCCGACGACCATCACCGGATTGTGAGCATTGCCAGTCTTAGGCGCAGCTGCAGGTCTACACGAAATCGACTGATCGCCTGGAAGCCTGTCGTTACACGGAGCTGCGTGTAACGGGGATGATTCGTAACTGTGTGGAGCAGCAGAGTTGGGATCTGTAGTATGGTGGTGGAGGTGGAGAAGGTGGTTGTGCGGAGCGGCGTGTAGGTGCACGTTGACGGCCGGCTGTTCCGCCATTGCCACCGCTCATATAAAATACGTACCGCTTATAACAACGTACGTGCCGCGTATTCAACAACGCTGTAACACACCGCTTATATAACGCACACACTTCCAGTCTCGTTTGCTGCGAATTGATGGAAAACCGTAAAAGGCGTCTAACGAGCAGCTAGACGGGAATTAGGCAAGGAATTAGCCGTGATTTGATTGTTAGTTTTTGGAAAATAGTCAAGCTGTTCGGCTTTCTTCAAACACGAGCTTCCCTGAGTCAAAGTGCGTTCATGATCCAATCAGGAGCTGTAATCGTTTCCGTGACATGGACAGAAAACGTTCAGAGCGCCTAGGGAGGAAAGAGAACAGCCATGAGAGATTCAAACTACGTCACTATCGTGTCGCATCGCATCTGATGACTAAGCACATGCGTGCACAACAACTCCAAACAGTGCAGCTAAAACTGTGAAATGAGAGTATGTGGAGTGGCCATATGAATGATAGGCAGGCATGGGAAAGTACAGACAGAGCAGAACTGGGAGAACTGTGATGCGGTGGTGAGAGCCTCTGATGCGATCATAGGAAGGTGGTGGTGGGAATCGGCGTGAGTGAGTGCTGCAAATCGGCAGTCTCTAGGAGTGAGTGTCATGTCAGTCTGTCATAGGGGTCTACTAGTTTTCTGAGTGGTTTAGAGAGTTATTCAGCGTTTCCGAGGCAAGACGAGCTTGGGAAGAGGTTGGGGAGGGCCAACGATGGCCTCGCGAAAGTCCTAGGTTGCGTTGCGACTCCTGTCTTCCAACCGACCAATGAAACACAGGAAGCGCTAGTGGGGAAGGCAAGGTCAATACAGCCTTGGGAAGTTCGCGCCACGTCAGGGAGTGCTCCTTCTGAACAGGACTACTCGTGGTGCACCAAACCAGAACTTGCTGTCGCACGAGTCACAGAACCTGACTGGGCGACGATCCATGCGACGAATGTGTCCGCACATGTCCCTCGCATTCGGATGGCCATCGCGAACGCTGAGACACCGTTGGATTGGCTGGAACAGTCAAACGGGCTCTCCCGAATCTCCTGGACCGTCGCTTTGGTTTGGAAGGTGCTAACCGAACGAAGGCTCCTCTTCGGTTTTGGCGGGGATGCAGGCGGGCTGTGCTGTGCAAGGCGGGAAGTCTGGTGAAGCTTGCTGCATGTTGCTTGTATCGATACGAACCGCCGTAGTGTATGGAGTCGACTTCACATATTTTATAAGCCAAAATTATGCTGTAGCTATGCTTTCATTTGTTGTGACATAGTTCAAAATACGTACCATTAGGGCCTGCTTGAACCAGAATGAGAGCTATATTTTTCCCTCTTGTATTCCTTTTCACCTTGGTGGCCTAGTCAGTCCGTAATTTCGAAGTGTTACTAGTACAGTATTCGAACAGCCACAAGGCAATCTCTTTTTAGATATGTAAATCATGGTTCTAAAACATCTGCCAGCCAAGTCTCAGGCCAGCTCAAGGACCCACTAATATTGCCATTGCCAATGCCAATTTGCAGTTGGCATAGGCAGCCGAACACACAGACATCAGTGGTTATCACCAAATGCAGTCTAGAGTGAGTCAGGAGGAGCACGATAGTCAGTCTTCGGGAGGAGGGGGGGCAGTGACTGGCATCTTGAGCTTCCAGCCTGGCTGGATGATGAAAAGATCGTCGTCAATGGGAGTGTCAAATTTAGCCTTTTTGAAATATTGCCGATTCTCGTTCACAATGTCTGGTGTGAAGGGGAGCAGTGGGAGAGGGAATAAGTGGGGGAAGAGGGGGAGGGGGAGGGGGGGGGGGGGGGGGAGCAAGGAAAGGAGGAAGGTTAGAGTATGGTGACAAGAGTGGAATAAGGACAGAATGAGAAGCAGCAGAAAGCCCCATACCCGAGCCAGTCATTTGTCCGATGATGCCCCACAGGCAGTCACCCTCCTTCAAACCAGACCATAGCCTTCCTCACACACTACTCACCCTTCCAGTTGGTCCCCGTGCCAGTCAGTTGTCGGCTGATGCTCCACAGGCAGTCACCGTTCTTCAAATCAAACCAGACCAGAACCCTCCAACCTCCTCACACCCTACTCACCTTTCCAGTTGGTCCCCGTGCCAGTCAGCTGTCGACTGATGCCCCACAGGCAGTCGCCCTTCTTCACTGTCGTTGCCACTGTCACCGTCTTGCGCTTGCCTATGCGGGGCACCTGCCAGGGAGAGTAGCAGGAAGAGTAGCAGGGGACAGAGTCACGATGTAGGGGCGCGTTGAGGAATCATTACACAGGCAGTCACCCTTCTTCACTGTCGTCGCCACTGTCACCGTCTTGCGCTTTCCTATGCGTGGAACCCGCCGGGAAGAGAAGCAGGGCACAGAGTCACAATGTAGGCGTATTTGAGTAATCCCCTTTTTTCTATCAGGACGTACACGGTGGTTATCAGAAAGTGCCTGGTTGTTGTCAAAAAGTGCATTATGGTTACGAGAAAGTGCATTATGGTTACAAGAAAGTGCATTATGGTTACAAGAAAGTGCATTATGGTTACAAGAAAGTGCATTATGGTTACAAGAAAGTGCATTATGGTTATCAGAAAGTGCATTATGGTTACTATGGTTACCAGAAAGTGCATTATGGTTACAAGAAAGTGCATTATGGTTACCAGAAAGTGCATTATGGTTACCAGAAAGTGCATTATGGTTACCAGAATGTGCATTATGGTTACCAGAGTGCACGTGTGGAGGTCATTGCGAGGAGGCATGGCGCGTGGGTCCTCCCCAATGCGGTCCTGACACCCCTCGTACACATCTGCGGCAAGACGGGACACAGTGGGGAGGTGAGGGGGGAGGGAGGAGAAGGGGGGAGTGGGTGAGAGGTTGGGGTTTGAGCCGCTTAGAACACACGCAGAGCGAGAAGGCATGGCGCGTGGGTCCTCCCCAATGCGGTCCCAACACCCCTCATACACATCTGCAGCACGGCGGGACAACGTGGGGAGGGGGGAGTGAGGGGGGTGAGGGAGAAGAAGGGGCGGGGGGAGGGGGAGAATTGAGGGGTTTGAGCCGAGTGGAACACAGGCAGAGCGAGGAGGCACGACTTTGGGAAGATAATACGACGTGCGTAGCCATTTCATCGGATCGCTCCAAATGGCCTTGCTCCACGACCACAGCGTCGACATGACTGGGGCGAGCGCAGCACGGTATGCCATCTAGTATATAACAGGAATTGCATATTGAATGAATCAATCGTACGTACGCGGCCATTGCTTGGGATCGCTCCACATGGCCTTGCTCCATGACCACAGCGTCGACTTGGCGGGTCCGAGACCCATATGCCCCTGCTGGTGCCCTCCCGCGCCGAATCTAAACACCCCGTCGCCTTGCTGCTGCTGCTGCTGCTGACGTTGCAATGGTTGCGGCACGTGCTGATGCTGTTGGTACTGGGGGTGCTGCTGCCAAGACCACTGGTGTTGCTGCTGCTGCTGCTGTTGTGGTTGGTACTGCGCCGGCTGGATAAACGCTTGGGTCTGCTGCGTTTGAAACGCCGTGTGCTGCGGCGGCGCATGCGGTTGGTTTGAGTGTTGTTGGAACGCGGTTGTGCTTGCGGAGGCCAGTGTACGGTTGGGATTGTGCTGGTGAGCTGTTGGATCGTATCGACCGTCGGATCCGCGCGGAGTTTGCCGTTGCCGCGTGCGGATGAACAGCGGCCGGTGCCGCGGCGTGAGATCGCCGAGACCTGATCCGCTCGATGCTGTCGCGCCGCTTTGAAACGGAAGCATCGCGGCACCCGATGTTAGTAGTGACAGTATATCCCTACAGAGTTAGTACACGTGCTTTCACTAACGGAGGACCAGGAAGGATCAGAAAAAAATAGCAGCAGAGTATTTACGACGAGTCACTACTGGAGGGTCTGAAGAGATCGAATTAGGCGACGATCGACGATCGACGATCCGCCGAGGTCAGCCGCAAGTGAATGTGGATCAGAATGAGAGCAGCTGATGAACCAGAGGAGCTTCGATTTGAATGCACGGAAACCTACGGAAGCTAGTTTGGCGCAAAAATGGCGCAAAAGGGGCGCAAAATGACGCAGGCCTGTTTGCCAGACCAGAATCTGGTCCCCTTTTCTGCCCCCATTTTCTCTGCCCCTGTACGGAAGCGCAAAAATGGCGCGAAAACACCGATGGTCAGCACTTCAAAACCAGAACCTGCTCTCGGAGGCTTGGCGATGGTTTGGTTCACACCGTGCCTGACTGAATTTCTGTTTGTGCTTCAGACCTTCTGCCGAGGCTGGGTCATTGGCCAGTTATGGTAAGCTTGGAGCAGACCAGGTGAACACTGCCACCTTATATTACCGCTTTGCAAACCCCCAAGCACCTGAACAACCATCAAATGTTGAGTATTCTGTTCGAGTACGGAACATTACATTTCTATTTCATTCTACCACATATCCCAGCATGTAGATATCTCTCTGTAGCCCCTATGCTCTGAAAAGCGTCTGAGTGACGCCAAGCGGAAACCCACAATCCATAATCTTTGCTCCTCCCAGCGTTCTAGCTCTGTTGTTGCTACTTGAAACGCTTCGTTCCTCACTCGCCTCTTCCTTTGCTTTATGTTGACTCCGATGGAGGTATCCGTGTTTCAGCAATGGGACCGCGTCATAGCACACTTTGTAAGAACATTTTTTCCGAGTAGACTGGAAGCCGTATGCTAGGGAATAAATCAAATTCCGAAATTTCTCAGCAATGGGACCGCGGCGTAGCGCACATGTTGCGAGAGCTCTTTCTGATCAGTTTCCGGGACTTCCTCAATCTCCTTTCGCCTCTCTTAATCCCTCTACATCCTTGATCCATCTCTCGCGCTGGCAGGACCTTGACTGTTTCTACGCGCAGGTGGAGCAGCAGAGACGGCCCGAGCTGAAGGACAGGCCTCTAGGCGTCACGCAGGTGAGCGTCAGGACCAATTAATTCGCATGTTATTTTTCTTGTTTTGTTCTCTTCGTGTTCAGTGAAATATTTTATTCGTGAAGCCTCTAAGAATCACAGCGGCTTTTAGCGTTGGTGAGTAGAAAGAAAAGTTACTCATATCAGGAAATTTTCCTGCGTGGCAGAAATTTCTGGTGGTGACTGCCAATTATGCCGCTCGAGGTCGAGGAGTTCCCAAGATGGCCTCCATTGATGATGCTCGAACCAGGCAAGTATGGGATTTTGTGGCTCCGGGAAGAAGGTTGTGGTCATATCTTTTAGACCCTCATGCTCAGGCGAGGTGTGTATGTTGCAGGGAGGAATGGATATAGTGACCGGAGGTGATCAACTGATTGGATCATCAGAGTATGGATATTATATCAGATGACTCAAAGCAGAGATTTTGTGCTGAGGTATCATTGATAGGTGCTTGGATATGCAACGTACAGGTGGTGGTGTGTGCTAACCAGACGTGTCATGTCATGTCCTCTGGGCCCTGCTTTTTCAGGTGTCCAGAAATCGTGCTGGTGAATGGGGAGGACCTCGCGCCATACAGGGCAGCCGTACAGGTGGTTGTGTGTGCTAAACTAACTAACCTCGCGTTTCATGTCCCCTGGCCCCTGTTCTACCCAGGTGTCCAGAAATCGTGCTGGTCAATGGGGAGGACCTCACGCCCTACAGGGCAGCCAGCAAGAAGATCTTCTCTGTCTTCTCTCGATTTGGAACCCTGGAAAGGTGCTCACCTTTTCTCCTCATGTTATTCACACGAGTGGAAAGAGGAATCTTTTTCCTGATTGCTTTTCTGTCACGTTCAGGCCCTTCTTGCTTCCTCCCCCAGTCCCTCTCTCCTCCGCCTCCCCACTTGCCGCCACTCTCTCTTTCCTTCCTCTCCGCCCCTCTCCTCCACCCTCTCTCACGTCTCCTGCATCATGTGTATTGATACTAATCTCCACCCACGTGGCAGGCTCGGATTGGACGAGGCGTTTGTGGACCTATCACCTCAAGTGGCATCCATGGTGGCAGCAGGAAGCTTCAAGGAAGGCTTCCTTGGGCACGTGGAGAGGGGTGCAGCAGCTGAGATTGAAAGGGAAGGCGGACGAGGAAGTGAGAATGGTCGTTGTCTGTTTCTGGGGCCAGGAGAGTGCCACTTGGCAGCTGGCAGTTGGCTGGCCGGTCAGGCAAGGCGAGCAGTGGAGGAGGAGACGGGGTATCAAATGTCATGTGGGGTGTCGCACAATGTGAGTGGGGTGCCGCTGTTTCATAATGGCTTTGTTCTGCAGGCGCATCAGCCCGCATCAATGTGCATTGATACATTCTATGATGGCTCCAAGATCCTTCCGTGATATCCTGCCGACAGGTTATCAAGGCTCGCGATAAGCGCGTGGCTGCCGAGGCAAACCAAGCCCGAATGCCTGCAGAACGGCCTTTTTGGCGACCAACATTTAACATGTCGCCGCGTTCCCAGTAATTTCTCGTCCTAGCAATCTGGCGCATCAGCTCGAATGGGGCAACTGAAAGCGTGTGACGAAGGCGTCAGGTACGTGCTGTCTGACTTCTACGAAGCCCGCTTTCCTTCTCCAATTTCACGAAATTGGAGATTGAAATGTCCGCATGCCCAATTTCTCAATCCCCAAACCTCAATGTCCCAATGTCCGCATCAGGCCGAGCCTCAGGCGCATCAGAGCTGATGCGCCTGCAGAACGCAGCCAATGTGAGTGGGGTGTCACATAACGTGAGTGGTGCATTCTGAATAGACTCAAACTACGCCTGGGCCAGGGAGACAGGGTACCAGATGTCATGTGGGGTGTTGCATAATGTGAGTGGCGTAACTTTGATGCCTCTGCTCTTCCATCCAATTGATCTTTCATTCGTTTCTTCTCCTCACTACATCCCTTCCCTCTGTATTTCCCTTTCCCACCCTTTTCCCAGAAAATGCTAGCCAAGCTTGTGAGCTCGCGCCACAAGCCCAATGACCAGACGACACTTGTCGCGTCCGCAGCCATGGATTTCATCTCCAATCTGCCCGTCAGGAAGGTGCCAGGTGTCGGCAGGCGATTGGAGGAGCAGCTTGCCTCCAGGGGTGTGACTGTAATGAAGGGTCTTCTCACCTTCTCTCTTCAAGACCTGCAGATATGGTAAAGCAGCCTTGTCTGTGTGTGCTAGATTGATAGGCTGGATTGATAGCCAGCCTTAATCAGTTGGACTAATTCACTGCACTAGTTCGGCTCCCTTGGTGGATAATTTAGGTTGACACGCTTGTCAGATAAACAGTATTTTGCTATTCCTTCGTGTTTCATGGATGCGCGTGCATGTTGCTGGGCTTGTGTGTGTGTGCATGTGTGCGTGTGCGCGAGTGCGTGTGTGCCTGCCTGTGTGGGGGCGTGATTTCGTGGGTATGCGTGTGAGTGTTCTTTTCGTTCTCCACCGCCAGGCTCGGCCCGAAGCTAGCGCCATTCCTCTTTGGTGCGTGCCGAGCCTACGACCCCACGCCTGTAACATTCAAGGGTCCAGCCAAGAGCGTATCAGTAGAGGATTCGTTCCCTCCCATCCACTCCCTCGCACAGGCTAAGGTGTGTAGATGTATGTGTGCTTGGACGTATGTAGGTAACAGGTATTACTGAACGATCATGTGCGTAGTGACATGCAAGGGACCTGCCAAGAGCGTATCAGTAGAAGATTCGTTCCCGCCCATCCACTCCCTCGCACAGGCTAAGGTGTGTAGAGTGGATGTCTAGATGTATAGATGTCTCAGGCCAAAGACCCTCACTGGAAAATACAGGGAAAAAATGTAACTCAGACTGTCGACGCTCTTCCCTTCTCCTCGCCCCTCGCCCCTCACCCCTCTAAATCGGTTTGTACCAGCTCATAGTGCCAAGTTTGCTGCCTGACCTGTTGACTCGGTATTGCATCCAAACAGTCACCGCTTTTCCCCTCTCCTGTCTCTTCCTGCACCCCCTGGTTTGTATGCCCCAGCCCATAGTGCAAAGCCTGCTACCTGACCTGCTCGCACGCATAGATGAGGAATGGGAGGAGACGAGGAGACGACCGAAGACGTTCACTGTGAAGTGGAGGAAGAGAGAGAAGGAGTACAGGTGAGTTTGCTGTAGGGTGAAGGGGTATATATGAGTTCTTATGAAGAATGAGAAGGATGGAAAGGATGAGAATGATGAGAAGGTGTGCTATCTAGGTTTCACCAATCTCCCTACTGGTTCACATCTGCCTCCCCTCTCCATCCCACCCTTTGTCTCCTCTATCCTCTAGCTCCCCTCCTCTAAGTCACCTGCTCCCTCCTCTCCCTTGCCTCCCCTCTCCATCCCATCCTTCGTCCCTTCTACTCTAGCAGCTGCTGCAACCAGTGAAGCGTCCACGTGACTTTTATTTCATTTTTGTGCTGCTTTTGCTCCTCTCTCCCCATCTCTCTATCTTGACCTCCATTCGCCCTACAGGTTCACATCTGCCTCGTGCCCCATGCCTCCGCAAGCCCTCTCCCCCTCCACCCCTCCCGCCCTACGCCTCTCCTCTCTCCTCCACCTCGCTTCCTCCCTCCTCTCCCGCGCCTTCCCTTCCCCTCCAGCAGCATCACCTGCTACCAGTGCAGCAGTAGCAAGCCATAATGCAGCATCCTATTCTATGGTACCAGTACCCGCTGCTGCTGCTGCTGCTGCAGCTACCAGTGCAGCAGGTATTGCCGCACACACCAGAGCTGCTGCTACTGCGTCTGCTGCTGCTGGAGAGGCCGCGTTTCGTCTCCTCCCAGTGATGGTGATCAACGTGGGTGCAACGAATTTCGTCTCCTCTTCTCAGCTGTCCCAGTCTGGCCAGCCAGGTGGCACTGCTGCTGCTGATGTTGTCGCTCCTGGTGGTGGGAGCTTGCACACGTGGCTCAAACGTAAACCACAGGGAGGAGGCTCAGGGGAGGTGGTAGCTGGAGCGACAGATTTGACTCGAAGGTATGCGGAGGTACACGGAGGGGCAACGCGGAGCGGTGGGATGGCTTGTGTGGTGGAGAGTGGTTCCCCTCAGGTGCTGCCAGTGAGGAGGGATGCTGCTGGGAGTATGGATCGGTGGGTGAAGCCACGAGCAGGGGGTGTTGAGCAGATGTTACAGGGGGAGGGGAAGCAGAGAGATCGGAGACGGGAGAATGATGAGATGTCTGTAAGTGACGTGGTACCCGGTAACGAAAGCGGACGCCCTCAGGTGCTGCCACTTGAGAGGGCTGTTGCTGCTGGGAGTATGGATCGATGGGTGAAGCCACGAGGAGTGAAGGCAGGGCAGGTTGTACAGCGGGGAAGGGAGCAGAGATATTGGAGAGAGGAGGAAGATGAGATGCGAAGGAGAGTGGGTGGTGAGAGGCTGTGCTCTCAGGTGTTGCCACTGAGGAGGGCTGGGAGTGGGTACTTGGAACGGTGGCTGGGACCTCGAATGGGTTTAAAAGAGAGTGGAGAGGACAAGGAGGAGGTGATGCAGGGTGAGGTGGCGCAGATTAATATGCTTACGGTGGAAGAGCAGGCGAGGGATTGTGAGGGTGAGAAGGTGAGGGATGGTGAAGGGGAGAAGGTGAGGGATGGTGAAGGGGAGAAGGTGAGGGATGGTGAAGGGGAGAAGGTGAGGGATGGTGAAGGGGAGAAGGTGAGGGATGGTGAAGGGGAGAAGGTGAGGGATGGTGAGGGGCGGAAGGTGAGGGATGGAGATGAGGAGAAATACTCTGTTCCGGTGATGCAGAATGGTGGGGGTGTTGCAGAAGTGGTTCGATACTTGATGCCTGTCGACAAGGAGGGAGGTGGTTTATGTCAGCCTGCAGATATAGACCTTGGTGCAAACTGTGCAACCGCTGGTGACACCACGTGTGCGACTGCATGTGACACGTGGACGTCGAACGGTTCTGCATGCGAGGTGTGGAGGTGCGAGGAATGTGGGAAGCAGATTGAGGTGGAGGGGGTGGAGGAGCACCGTGACTTTCACTTCGCTTTGAGGCTGGACGCAGAGGAAAACGGGATCGCCAAGAGCTCTAAACTGACGCGTTCTCTGAAGAGGGAGATGGCAAGCATTGAGAGCAAGCACACTCGGACACAGCAAAGAAAGCGGTTGAGATGTGTTGCCGGCACCCTAAATCCTAAAGGGAAGTTGGTGGATGGCTCTAGAAATGGAAAGGTAGAACGTAATGGAACTTTGGATGCATTTGTGTCTCGCCAGAGTGTGCTGAAATGATTTAGCACGGTAGCTGCTGGTGTGTTCAGGGTTCCTTCCGAGCACATCCCCAAAACTTGCCAAGATACCGGTATGGCTTGCCAAGGTATGTAGTTGCTCAATATGCGTAGCTTGTTCACTTACATCGAAGTCGCACTAAAATGTATTTCAGATTTTGCCCGAAAGAGTTGCCAAATCAGCTATTTCAGCGTCAGCAAAAGCTTGTGACCAATTGGCTGGCAGCACGCGGGACTGCTTTGCGTGGAACAGCCCCCTTCGCCGAAAACTTGGGACGAGGGGGATATCGCCGTGCCGTGCGTGCGCACGACTTCCGTGGGCAAGGAGGAACGTGGGGACGTCGCTTCCTAAGGATTGCAACATTGCACCTTGACATGGCGCGTCTCGACGAACATCCTCCAATCACCGCGTTACGTCCCATGGGTTCCTTCTTGATTCTTCCCTCTCTCCTCTGACCCAACTCTCAAGAACGGCTTCTCGAGGATTCCGCGCCTCAAGAAGCGCACACAAACGCCCCTGGGGAACTGCTGCAGCACCGCCGCAAATTGTTGAAGTTGCCCCCCGGGGGGCTGCTTGCGCCGTTCTTGAAGTTGCCCCTCCCTGGGACCTGCGAGCGAGCACCTTGCGCTACGCTCCGCTGCCGTGTACGGTAAGGTGTGCTTTCCGCGCCTGTCAGCACCGCACCCACCAACCGCCAGTAGCGAGGCAAGTGGCTCCGCGAGACGCGCTTCCTCGCTCCGCCAGCCACGAAACAGAGCCGGAGCGAAGGCTGAAGGTGTAACCCTGTGACGACCGCTGCGTAGCCTGGTCGTCAGCCCAAGAAGCGTCTGCGTGACCTGTGAGGACCACTGGACGTCGCCCTCCAAGCACTAGCCCCATGCCCGACGTACTGCACAAGTAGCGCAACACCCTCTTCGCTGCAACCATGTGCTCTGGTCGGTGCGCAATCCTCCTCCCTCACCCCTCTCACTTCATCCCGTCTTCAAGAGAACATCAAAGAGACTGGCACGAAAACTCACATTGCTCTCGTTCTTTACTTTTCCAAAAATTGTTTGACGCTTTCGATACTCACAGTTATTCCCGCACGCGTGATACCACTCCACGCCACCCAAGTACTTGCCTCTCTCCAACAACCAATCGCGCATCGCCTATTTCTTCGAAAAAATCAAAGACTCTTTCCGGAGTCACCCTCTTTCGGTTCCGGAGTCAACCTCAGCCATGGATCAGATGCTCGGATGCCTCCAGGTGGATCAATCAACAGTCGCGATGGTCGAGCATTTCGGGCGGTTCGTCCGCGCGCTCGACCCGGGCTGCTACTGCGTCCCCTGGTGCTGCTGCTACCGCACCGCGGGGCTCATGAGTCTTCGCATCAACCAACTCGACGTGCGCTGCGAGACTAAAACGAAGGACAACGTGTTCGTGACGGTCGTCGCGTCGATTCAGTATCAAGCCATCCGCGAACAAGTCGAAGACGCGTTCTACCGCCTCGCCGACCCGCAGGCGCAAATCCGGTCCTACGTCTTCGACGGTACGTGTACAACATTGAGCTTGGGTTTTTCACTGTCTTGCTTCTCCCCAACTCTTCCTCTTCCCGCTCGACCCATCTCCTCTTCCCGCTCCCCTTTCCCCTCCCTCCACCCTTCCATCTTTTCCTTCTTTTGTTCTCTATCTGTGCAGCATGAAGTCCGTTTTTATTTCTTTCATAAGGACAAAAAAAACAAAAAACAAAAACGGCTTTTTCGTCTTCTGCACACGTCTCGCTGCTTTACTAGCATTACCCATCACCCCGCCCTTCATTCTCTCCCCTCCTCCCCCACTTTCCTCCGACTTTTCTTCCCCCCTTCCCTTCCCGCCACGGCTCTGTTCGTGTGGTTTGGGCGCAGTCGTGCGAAGCAGCGTTCCAAAGATGGAACTAGACGAGGTGTTCATATCAAAGAACGAGATTGCGCAAAACGTGGAACAGGAGCTCGAAAAGGTGTGATGCGAGTGTCAGGCAAACATCTCACCGTCTTTGAGCAGTTGGGTTCGTACGTTCCTTTTTTTGTCTTACATTGCTAAAATTGGTGTTTTCTGATGCGCTCATAATTTTGCTGACACCCCAAGTTTGTTGCCCCCGTGTCTCATCCTGTGTCCTTCACTTCAGGCCATGCACGACTATGGCTACCGTATCGTGCAGACGCTGATAGTGGACGTAGAGCCAGATGAGCGAGTCAAGGTGGCCATGAACGAAATCAACGCAGGTCAGTGAAAGTCAATGCAGGTCCGTGTGAAAGTCAACGCAAGTCAATGTTAGTTAATCCAGACGCTGATAGTGGACGTGGAGCCGGACGGTCGCCATGAACGAGATCAACGCAGGTCCCAGCTAGTCAACACAGGTCAATGGAAGTCAATGCAGACGCTGATAGTGGAAGTGGAGCCGGACGAGCGAGCTAAAATCGCATGAACGAAACCAACGCAGATCCGTGAAAGTCAATGCAGTTTATGGAAGTCACACGTGTTTAGGCCGAGTCATGCGGCACGTGTTCCTCCCCTCCTCCCCCCTCCTTCCTGGTCCCATGCAGCTCAGCGCATTCGGCAGGCGACGCAGGAGAAGGCGGAGGCAGAGATGATTCTGCAGGTCAAGAAGGCGGAGAACCCCCTTTGACCCTACCTTCCCCGCTTGACTCTACATCTCCAATTCTCCCTCTTGCAGCCCAGCGCATTCGGCAGGCGACGCAGGAGAAGGCGGAGGCGGAGAAAATTCTGCAGGTCAAGAAGGCGGAGGGCGACGCCGAGGCTAAGTATCTCGCTGGCGTGGGTGTGGCTCGGCAGCGACAGGTACGGTAGTGGATATACGGTGGATGGGTACCATGTACGTTCCTTCATCCGTTCACAATCCCCCACATTTCCTTTAACCTGCCTCTCCAGACATTTGTCTCACCCCTTTACAATCCTTTTAACCACACTGTGCATTCCCTTCACTCCTTTGCAATCCTTTTAACCTATCCACGTATTCCGCTTGGCACGTTCATGGCAGGCCATTGTGGATGGGCTGCGAGAGAGCGTGATGGGATTCTCCTCGCAGGTTCCTGGAACCACCGCCAAGGACGTGCTTGACATGGTGAGATAACGGGCAGGGGGTTGCGTTGCCTGAAATTGACTTGCATTGACTCAATCCCTTTGCCATATTTTTGTTCCTTGGTTGCTTTTATCCCATCTCAACCCATCCCTCTCTGCATCACCTGATTGCCTCCTCTCTCAACCTGCATTACTTTACTATTTCTCCAGGTAATGCTGACTCAGTACTTTGACACAATGAGGGACATCGGAGCCAACAACAAGTCTTCCACTATTTTCATTCCACATGGGCCAGGAAACGTGGGTGATATTTCTGCACAAATAAGGGATGGCCTCACTCAAAGTATTGTGGCCTCTAAGAATGTGTAGCTTGCTGCAGTTTGTATGTGTACCCTTAGAGTGCATCCCTAGTGTTTTTTTTAATTGCTCTTTGTGTATATTGCCTTGTGGAATAAACCTGTGTAATGTGTAGCCAGTCTTGGAGAGCCTCGTATTACCATGGCTAAAGCTGCCTGAGACTTCTGGGACTGATATGAGCAAGAAACAACTCTTGTGGTAAAACGTTGCCATTTTGCCATTGCTGGCTGGGTCTATCTCGTCCTGTACAACCCGAACAAACTCACATAAGTACCTCCCGTTGCCTTCAACTGTTGTGCTTCCCAACCCAACCTGTACACCCTCTCGCTACACTGACCCGCGCGTAACTGGAAGGCTGGCATTGTCCTATTGGATTTGCCCAAATAAACCATACCGAAACCTAAATCAACCAGCATCAACCAAGCTTTTTCACTCTGGGAAGTCAGTATAGCGGACGTCAGTATGGCGAGAAAGAGGGTGTACCACCCTGCACCCATCCTAGCTTCTCCCATTAGGAACGAAGTCAATCGTTGACGATGACCTGCTTTGACCCTGACTCGCAGTTATTCGCGTTTGTGCAAGTTGTGCTATCAGTTCTAACAGCCCTCCGTCCAGAATTGTAAACAGAATGCTTTTGCTGATGTGTACACCCTCTTTCTCGCCAGACTGACAATGGGAAGCACTGGCTACAGTGCGTACTGTTTCTTGGACCCTAGCGTACTGTTGCTTGGACCCTAGCGATCTGGTGCTTGCAACCAAACGCCGGGTAGGTGGCGGGCAAATGCACTCCAGAGGAACGGTACACAACGTTTTATGGAAGAAAACTTGTGTTTGCGTACGGTTGAGTGCGGCAAATGTGCTTATATGGTATGTTCTGGGACCATTCTGGACGCATTGATGTCAGTACAGCCGGTCCGTCAATATGGCCAATGTCAGTCTGGCGAGAAAGAGGGTGTACCTGTACGCTACGGGAAGCTCAATGGCCGAATGCCGGCTGTTCTCTCATTCGCGGAAACTGAGCGGACAACACTTGCCCGCATCGAATCTTCATTGATTCTCCTCACCTCAGGCCACTCTTGATCTGACCATTCCTCCTCACACAACCTCGACCGACCAACCGCCCCTCCCCGAATCCCCGAGTCCCGACCTGGTCAGACTCGGCTCGGACTCATGCCTCCCATTCGTCCATCCAAACCAATCCCACGTTGCAGCGACCATACGGACAAATGAGTGCTGGCCAAAGAACTTTCGTGCGACGCATCCAACTGTCCGTTTGATCGAGTCGTTGGACCATTTCGCGACTGGTCAAGTTGGGGGAGTGTGTCGTCACCGTAGCCAATGAGCGTCCCTACTTCGTCCCAATTGGGATAATGTAACGACGAGATGCCAGGCTGGTTTGCCTCGGTCTAGGGAAGTTTACAGCATTCCAGGAAGATCGTCACAGGCAAGGCGTCCAAAATACGTAGCTGTAGGTGGGTGCTGCGCACACCACAACTCACCCAGTCCTTGGAGGCGGTGACAAAACCCACCACACCCAGCTTTTCCTTCAATTTTAAATGGAACAAGAACTACCGTTTGTGTTTCATATTGGAGATATAATGAATGAGATGCAATTAAAATCCTGGAAACATACACTAGCATGGCAGAGGTCCTACAGTAGCACCATGCTACACCCTCCCCACCATGCGCTTGCTAATTTCGTACAAAACCTCGCAGCTTCAGCTCCGAGGCGTTCTATGGTTAGAATGGCACGGGCGCATCTAAAGTGGATTACAAAGCAAGGCTTCTCTACAAAAGAACAGTTCCCACACAAGGGAGCCACCACCAACCATGCGTGGTTCAAGAGTAGGCAAATGTGACGTTATCAAGGGTGTGAGGTCGATTTGCTAGTTGGTCGAGGTCGCGAACAATCCGGAACACCGCGTCGGGTCGGGCTAATCGGTGAGCATTCGTTGCCATCCTCTTGAATTGATCCACCTTGGGTCCAAACCAGTCGGCCACAATTTGAGCAATCTTTTGGGGATTCTCCTCGAACAACCCAGCCCCGTTCTTGACAACGAAGGGAACATTGCCAGCTTCCTGTAACAAAGAACAAAGGAACAAGAAAGAGGAAAGGTGAGCAGGCAGCACAAATAGACAGCTAAACATGGACAAAAGAAACACATACATGCAATCAACAAGCCTCTCGGGATGGGAGGAGTTTGAAGGTAAACTGACCTGGCCAGCAATGAAGCCATTCAAGATCATGGGTAGGCCTTTGATCATCGACTCAGCAATAGTACCAGGACCAGCCTGTTCATGAAAAAGAGGAACGATGGAAAATGGGAGGGTGTGACAGGATGAGTAAAATGACTAAATAGATCAAGGCAGATGCAAAACATATGAGCAGAGTGGGCAAGAACCATATTAGCAGCTCCAAAGTTTCACTTATACACACCTTGCTGATGACGCAGTCTGAAGCTGCCATGACTTCGGGAATGTTGGTAACGACACCCTTGATTTGCGTTGGCATGGGCCACGTCATGGCTTCCAGTGTCGCCTGCAGCTGCTTGTTTCGCCCGCAAATCACAATCAGCTGCCCCTTCGCTCTCCCGCCTGGCGTTTCCGGCGCCAGTGTTGTTGCCAGAGCCCTCGCGGTCACCTCAACTGGGCCCATGCCTTCGCCTCCGCCAATCAGCAGCACCGCTGGCAGCTCCGGGTCCATGCCTAGCGATTGCCGAACGCCAGCCTGAGGTCCGGAGGGCTTGGCGAAGGCGGGGCGGATGGGGAGTCCGTGCACTCGGATTTGCGACGGTTGGAGCCCGGCTTTAAGTGCCTGTTGCGCGACTTCCTTTGTCGGGCAGAAACAAACGCTGACTTGTCGGCTGAACCACGTCGGATGGCAGGTGGTGAGATCCGTGACTACAGTGATGAACGGGATGCGGTGTAGAAGCCCCCTCGATTTAAGCACACGCAGCGGAATGTGCTGCATCAGCGGGTGCACGCTTACAATCACGTCTGGCTTGTATTTATCCAACCCCTTCGAAACCGTCCGCGCCACGAACGCAAACGTCGCTGCCATCTGCGGCTGGTGCACGAACTTGGGCTTCGTCGCGTAATAGGTCATTTTCCAGAGAGTCTCGTGTCGGACGAGGAAGTTGTAGCTCTTGGGGAGTTGATTAAACGGCCATGGCGTGTGATCCGTCCACATGTCGACGACGTTGACTTCATACTTGTCGCCGAATTCCATCTCGAACGTCGATTTCAGAGCCTCCGCGCTCGCGCGATGCCCCCCGCCAGTGTCACTCATCAATATAAGCACGCGCTTTCTCCGCACGGGATCCTGCACCTTGCGCTCCCACTCTGCCATTGCCATTGCGCGCGCCGCATGCTCTACCGCGGATTTTGCAGGGCGACCCCGCAGGCGATTGTGAAGAGGGCCGTGACTGCCCTTATGATGACCTGGGAAAGGGGCGATACAAGGCAGGAAAAGGCGAAGGAAGTTTAAGTACGGCTCTGCGACGGGAGCTGTGCTGGGGATGAGGGGGGAAAGCATGGAAGGAACCGCTACGGGAGTTGTAAGGGGAAAGTGAGGGGTGGGGTTTCGGCGGAACTTGAACCAAATAATTTTTGACACGGAAATTGCCCCGCTCTGTGCTTTCAAGTCAAATCGGCGCGAGTATTCGCCATCGCTCTGTGCCTTTTTTCCCTTGCTGCCAACCCCTCGCACACTCCCCCAACTTTTCCCCGTCTTCCTTGCCCCGCCCTCACCTTTGAGTGCCTTTTTGCCCTCCGCATTGCACTTGGCGTAGCCGTGGCTGCGCGGGTTGCGCCACAGAAACTGCTCCTTGACGGGCGCGGGGGGAGGATGCGCATCTCCCGCCAACACGGGCGGAAGCGGAATGAACGACCCGGGGGAAGGGAAGGCGGAAGACGACGATGAATCCCCCTCTGCTTGCTCGCCTTTATCAGCCGATTCGTTGTAATCACCGCTTCCCTTCTCCTCCGCGTCTCCCGCCTCCATCTCCCCCTCCCCTTCTCCCTCCGCCTCGCCCTCCACCTCCCCTTCCGCCTCCCCCTCCCCCTGTGCCTCACTGTAATCTGCCCCTTCCCTCCTTTCCGCCAATCTCAACCCGTCACTCCCGTCAACCTCGAGCATCACTCTCGCCGGAATTTCTGCAGTGACATCCACTCCCCGCCGAGTCAATAGTATTTGTACTTCGGAAGAGACTTCCTGGGGCTCTAGCTCTGCCGAACCTGAACTTCCAGACCCAGAACCTGCCGAGCCTGCGTCAGATCCCGACGTTAAACAGGGCCCAGATTGCGAATCTGCTGCAATGTTGTAACCCGACTCGGCGAAAATCGCCCTCGCGAACTCACTACCGAAGAACGACTTTGGCCCGCTTCGTTCCTCGATAGAGCTTGTTGGTTTAAGGCTGACGGTCTGGAAAAGAAGAGATAGAGAATCGGAAAACAAAACGTCGAGACGCTTAAGCGAAGCGGCACAGACATGTAACAGGGGCAATAACGATCAAAAGGAAACTAAACAGGCCGGCGCGGGAAATGGGGAAGGGACGGGGCTGAACGGGGAAAATATTCGATACGAGAACCTTCGCGTGCTTACATGGTGTGCAGTCGGGATGGCGTTGAACGAAAAGGCGACCATGGTGAAACCGATAACGATGAGAAACACGGACGCGCGGAAACTCAACAGCGCCACGCGCCGCCCTTCTTGCCATTTCCGCGAAAACCATTTACTCGCTTCTGGTATCGAACTCGGCGTTAGCAACCCCCGGGCTTTCCCCGATTGTAGCTTCCTCGCTTGCCGTTTACAGTCAGGTGTTACTGGGCTATCGGGGCATGGTAGTAGCGGCGTCAGGTTATCAGGAGATTTCGTCATCGGCCCGGGGCTCTGCCGACATGTCATAAAGAAAACGGCTTTCGGGGTGTCTCTGTCGCACGGTTTCGCACACGCAGGTAACTTTTCGTACGCGGGGAGTTCGGCGAGCGGCGAGCGTTCTGTAGTGTGGTAG